TAGCGCTCTCGCCTGGCATGCTCGAGGAGCTGGGTTCGATGCTCAGCACCACATAAAAATAAAATAAAGATGCTTGTCCACCGAAAACTAAAATATTAAAAAAAAAAAAGGGCTGGGAATGTAGCTTAGTGATTTAGCACCTGGGGTTCAATCCCTAGTACTAAAATAAGAAGAAGAAAAAAAGAGAGAGAGAGAAAAGAGAGAGAAAATAAAAATAAAAACTAATGGAGCAGGGCATTGTGGTACACACCTGTTAATTCCAGCAATTCAAGAGCCTGAGGCAGGAGGAACAAAAGGCCAGCTTCTGTAACTTAGTGAAGGCCTCAGCAACCTAGTGAAACCCTGTCTCAAAATAAAAATAAAAAGCTGGAGGGGCTGGGGATGTGGCTCAAGCCGTATCGTGCTCCCCTGGCATGCGTGCAGCCCGGGTTCGATCCTCAGCACCACATAAAAACAAAGATGTTGTGTCCGCCGAAAACTAAAAAAATAAATAAATATTTAAAAATTCTCTCTTTCTCTCTCTTACTCTCTATAAAAAAAATAAAAAATAATAAAATAAAAAGCTGGAGATGTGGCTCAGTGGTAAAGCACTAAAGCACCTGTGGGTTCAATCTCCAATACAAAGAAAGCAAAAAAACAAACAACAACAACAAAAAAAAAACTCTACTTTTTTTTTTTTCACAGCCATTTAATTAAAAAAAAAAAAAAAAACAGAAAAGAAATTTGTGTTAAAGAAAGACACCAGGGCATGCAGAGGAGGGCTTCTTAAGGCTGGGGTGGGGAAAGGGCATATAGAGACCTCCAAGATGAAAGGCTGAGGACATCAGCTGAAAAGGACATCAGGGTAGGTGCATGTGTACCCCTGCCATTTGCTCCCAGGAGGCACCTTCTATGAAGTTCCTCTAGTGCTGAGAATGTCCCCTACTTTCCTCCATCCCCTCCTACTTCAGTATCTTGGCTGATGTGTGAGGAAGTACAGCCTGAAACTTTACAGCAGCAAAGTGTATTTTGGGATGATAATATGTCCTGGTTTCTTAGAAATGCACCCACCTCTAATGGAAAGTAACTTAATTTATCCTAACTTCCACCCCAAAGGACCAGCATCCAAACCGGAGTGAGACTTTTTTTTTTGGCAGTGCTAGGAATCAAATCTAGAACTTTGTGTATACTAGAAAAGCCCTCTAACACTGAGATACACTTCTATACCTTTTTAAAATTTTTATTTTGAGATAGGGTCTTGCAAAGTTGCCCAGGCTGGCCTTAAACTTGTGATCTTCCTGCCCCAGTCTCCCAAGTAACTGGATCACAGGCGTGCTATGATCTTTCTATGTTCTTTATACTGAAAGATCTTTAACATGTATGTCACACAAACACACACACTTAACATGCAGGGACGCAGGTCATATCTCCTATGCATTGTGCTGGGACTGAAACCCAGGATCTCATGCATGCTTGGCAAGCATGCAACAGTCACTTTACCTTTTGATATAGCCCTCCTTGCTCTGGGGCTGCTGCTGCTGCTTCTTCTTCTTGTGCTGGGAATTGAACTCAGGGGCACTCCACCATTAAGCCATATCCTCAGCCCTACTTTGTATTTTTTTATTTATCGACAGGGTCTCACTGAGCTCAGAAGTGCCTCACTGTTGCAGAGTGCTGGCTTTGAATTCGCGATTCTCCTGCCTCTACTTCGCGAGCCACTGGGATTACAGGCGTTCGCCACCTCGCCAGGCTTGAGGCTTATTTGTTTATTTTTTAAAAAATTTTGTTAGGGGTTGAAGTTGTGGCTCAGTGGTAGAGCGCTTGCCTAGCATGTGTGAGGCACTGGGTTTGATTCTCCACACCACATAAAAATAAACAAATAAAATAAAGGCACTGTGTTCATCTATAACTGAAAACAATTTTTAAAAATTTTGTTAGATGTTGATGAATCTTTATTATTTATTTATTGTGCTGAGATTCGATCCAGTGCCTTGCACATGCCCCAGCCCCAGCTCCTTGAGACTTATTTTTTTAAAGTTCATGTTTTTCCCTTCCTTTTCTCCCTCTCTCCCACCTAACCTGGGGGCGAGGAAACAAGATCACCTGGAGTTATCCAGGCTCCAAAGGAAGGAGATGTCTGCTTGAGGATCTAGGAAGTGACTTTCTCCCAAATTAACAAATGAATCCTAACATACCCTCAGGGCGCCCTGGGAACCCTCCTCGGGGCACACCTGGACTGTAGCCTTTGAATAGCTTTTTAAAAAGCCCTGCTTTCCCTAATGGGCAGAATCACAGGGACAGAAGTCTCCTGTTTCTCCTTTGCCAGCAAAACAATTTAAAAAAATTCCTTTAACTTAGAACCGTGTCCTCATTATTAAGTTGGCATGAACTGGCATTGGGGACAAGGATCGAGCTTTCGGTTACAAGGGCTCCACCACTGAGCTATAACCTCAGCACCGTTACTTCCATTTTTTAAAACAAAAAGGCACCCAAAACAGGTGAGCGAGGGAGATGCTGGATTCGGAGGCGGGACTGAGCGCCGAGGTCGTAAGGCTTTATGCATCTTGATCGTGTCCTCACGGCTCGGCTCTCTTTAATAAGACCCCTGAGCCCCAGGCCCCGCGGCGGCCGCGGGGCTTTCCAGCGGGCCGTCTTAGTTTCCCGGAGGGTGGAAGTCCAGTCCAGGACCGGCGTGCCCTCGCCCAACGTCCTCACCGCCCGGGCCAGCCAGGTAGATTGCCGGGAGATATCTGGGCAAACCGGAAATTGCCGTGGGGCAGCGAGACAGGAAACGTGGGGACACCAGCCAGGCCAGGCGCGCACAGAGTGACCCTTCCCCCCCCCCGCGAGTAGGACTGTTCTCGGGAGCGCGCAGGTGAGAGCCTCGAGACGGTGGCTCAGTGAGGCGGGGGGGAGGGGGCGGGACCATCTTGTCTACAGCCAATCACTGGCGTCTTCCGTGGCGCGTGGGGGGCGAGGTGGCGTCGTTGCCTGGGAGACAGCTCCTGGCGTCAAGTTCCTGCGGGCTGAGGAGCGCTCGGGGCCGGAAGGGGACTCCCGGGCTTCTGCGGCCTCCTGCTGCTCGGAATTTGCATTCCTGCTATGGTGTCAGCTTCACTGGAGCGGGTCGCGGGGTCGCCTTCTTGCCTCCGGAGGTGTCCCTGGCCTGGGCATCCTTAGTTATTTTTCTTCTTTTAAAAATTTTAAACCCTATGAGCACTTCTGCAGATTACCTTTTCTTCTTTGTTAACGTTTAGAATTTTCTCTGCTATTTATTATTTTTACTTCCCTTCTCTCATGTTCCTTTATTTCCCCTATTGGTTGTCTCTTTCCTTCACCAGGCCGCATATCCGCATCGTCCTGTCTCTAGTTAGCTGCTTTAGTTAGTGTATTATTTTGTTCTTGCTTTAGACGATGTTGTTTCTAGTTTTCATTATTTTTTAAGACTTAAGTTAACTGTCAGGCTGATCTCTGCAAGTAGATGGAGATTTATTTACCAAAGGTGGTGTCCTCTCCTTACTCAAGTTCAGGGCAGCCACCAGAAGTTGAAGTTTGTTGAGGGTTTCCCAAACCTGAAGCTCCACTAGGCGCCTTTCTCCATGGTAGTTAATACTTGTGACAGGCTCTGAGGTAAATAGGTAAGTACAGCCCTGAACGGCCTGTGAACTGAATGCAGAGAAGCTGGACGTGTACTGAGTTTTTTTTTTTTTTCTCCTTTTTTTTTTCTTTGTGATACTGGGGCAATTCTAACATTGAATTATATGCCCAGCCCTTTTTATTTTTTCTTATAAGACAGCATGTCTGGCTAATTTGCCCAGGTTGGCTTTGAACTTGTGGTTCTTCTGCCTGAGTCTCCTAAGTAGCTGGGATTGTGGGTGTGCAGATTTAAACGTTTTGTCGTAAATTTAAAACTCAGATTTCACATAGAAATCAAATTCTTTCGAGGTATGGTGGTACAAGCCTATAGTCCCAGTTAGTTGGGAGGCTGGTAAGTTCCAGGTTAACCTGGACAATTTACCAAGACCCTATCTTTTTTTTTTTTTTTTTAAGAGAGAGAGAGAGTTTTAATATTTATTTTTTAGTTTTTGGCAGACACAACATCTTTGGTTGTATGTGGTGCTGAGGATTGAACCCCTGCCGCATGCATGCCAGGCGAGCGTGCTACTGCTTGAGCCACATCCCCAGCCCCACCAAGACCCTATCTTAATATAAAAAATTTTAAAAGGACTGGGAATGTATCTAACTGGTAGAATGCTTGTCGTAACATACACAAGGCCCTGGTTTCAATCAAGGAGAATGAGGAGACAGAAGGAAGGAAGAAGAAGAAATTGAATTTTTTTTCTCTTGAAAAATATTTGAACTTTGGCAATACTGGCCCCCAACTACTCCCTCTAAACAAATATGGTTTTGGATATCCCTGAAGTCCCTTGTACTCTCTTCTTATGTCCAGCCATTGGTCATTTGTGGTTGTTGAAGGCATTACATTTTTGATGTGTGCTTTACGCCTTTCTGAACTCTTTCAGAGGCTGCAGTTTCCACACAGAAACTGTGGTAACCCCCTCCCCCAGACCTGCTCCGATCCTAAAACCAGCTGTGGGATGCATTTCTCTCCTTTCCAAGAAAGGGTTAAATGGTTAATATCAAGTATATAGTAGTATATGCTATATACTATATACTATATGCTATATAGTAGGTGCTCAAGAAATTTTCTATGAACAACCAAATGAACGCTCAAACTTCATTTAGTTTGTCTAGGAAATCTTATGGCAGGATTCAAGCCTCTAGACACCCTTTACTCCTGCAGTATTCCTAAACCAGTACCTTTTGCTGGTAAAGAAATTTTGCCCTGGGGCTTGGGCTTGTGGCTCAGCAGTAGAGCAATAGCCTTGCATGAGGCACTGGGTTCCATCCTCAGCACCATATAAAAATAAATAAACAAAATAAAGGCATTGTGTCCATCTACAACTAAAAATACATTAAAAGAGGGGGGGGGAGAGAATTTTATTTTATTTTTTCCCTGAAATTGGGACACATGCACTAATTTTGAACTTTGTGCTCTCTTGGGATTGCATGGGGTGACATGGCCCTCTCCAGCGGTAGTCTTGTATACTGGAGACTCAGTTCTGCTCCTCATGGACACACTGAATACAGTTGTGTCATCTTTTCAGGACCCTCTTTGACTTTGTTTCAGTTCATTGCTACCTAGATTGAAAACAGTATTGACTTTGATTACAACTTTGTATGTCCCTCTTCACCCTGGGTTTAGAATGACTGGAAACACTAACTAGAGGCAAATCCCAGGGGTAAATTTTCTTCAAGTTGACAGTAGAATCAAGCCAAATCCAAGGTCTCCTAAAATATTTGTCTCCAAGAGTGGAGTTGCAAATAGATGCTACAAGGGATCAAGTGTCGACCATGACCACCTGGGAGTCAGGTTGTGGATAAAAAGAATGTAGGTCCAATATTGCCAAATGTTCTGATTTTTTAAAAAATCAATTATATGAGAACTCTGCTGATTTTTAAGTGTTAGAAATTAAGTTTTAAAAAAATTAAATCCTGTGAACCCACAGAGTACATTTGTGAACTAGTACAGGGCTGTAACACTGATCTTGCTGTGTGAAGCAGGGGATCTCAGAGATGAGTCAAAGGAGGCAAGCACAAGATCATCTCTGGGAGGAACATTCCTGTAGGCAGACTCCAGGACCAGGACCCCACCTCTTTGCTGACACTCCCATGCTCTGCCTAGAAGACATGGTTCCTTACCCCAGAAAGTAAAGTACAATCATTCTCCTTCCCATTTGGGGCTTTAGTACCCAGGGTCAGAAGGCAAAGGGAACCTAAGGGGGTGGCATCTGGAACTCCTGGACAGTTGGGTCAGGCCTCTTTACCACTGTTTCTGAGCTGGAGTAGGTTTGGAAAAACCAAATTTATCCCACATATTGCCAGGTGTAGGCATCAGGATGGGCTACAGGTGGTCCCAGCCTATTTCCTTAGTTCACTCCTAGGGAGAGAACTCTGTGCCAGTCTTGGAGGGACCCAGAGGACCCCCTGATCAGAGGAGGCTTAATTGAATCCAGGGGCCTCAAAGAAGTGCTGTGTACTGAAAAAGAACGTCTTCCCTCCACTCAGCAAAGCGCCACTTTTTCAAGGATGACTGCAATGCTCTCTTTGAAACATTATCAGAATCTTTCTAAAAACGCATCGCCCTATTTTTTCGTTTCGGTGCCCTGCTTGGCGGGCATCACAAATACGTGCTTGGTAAAAGAATCGTCTTTAGCAGGCATTGCTGATCTGGGAATTGCCTTCCTGCCAAGAGCAGGTGCAGCCAAGGCCTGGGATCCCAGACACGGAACCCTCGAAGCTGGGAACCCTATAGGGCTGCCGCTGCGTGGGGAACGGGATCTGGAAGGGACTTCCTGTTGTCCCTAATCCTGGTCTCCGCCTGATTCCCCCGCCGGCCCAGCGCTGGCTGCAGAACCCCCCTTCCCTGGGGAGGGGCCCGGCTGCCCCTGGTGCCTCCTCTGCCATCCTGCACCTCGGTGAGAAGGGAATGCTGGGGAGGGCTCCTGGATGCCGGGATTGGTACAGGTGGCCAAGATTGCTGGAGGGGACAGGGTCAAAGGTGGAAGGCTTCGGGCTGGCAGGAGAGAAGGGGGCCTGGATCCGGGATTGGGAAGAAGAAGGACATAGTCCGCCGGAACTATGAGCAGGATGGGCATCCCAAGGCCGGAGGTTGCATCGCAGGGGAACTGCTAAGTGGGCAGGTTGATTTCTGGTTTCTAGGCGGGCTTTAAAGCACACGCGGGGCACAGGATGCTTGTCCTGGGGTCAGCGGGGTCTGAATTCTTCTATGAGAAGTGGGACCTCACCAGCACTTGTTTTGTAGGATCTCTGCAGAATTTTCTGCTCTTGATGACAGGAACTACCATTTCAGTTTTTCCCCACTTTCCCTGAGCTGTTTGCTCTGAAATGTGGGGCTCAGCAACAAAGCATACACAATATCTTTGTACTTTTTATTTTTTTTAAAAGCAGGAAACTAAAAACATGATAGAAAAGTAGGACTGCTGAATAGGATCTAGCAGACTTTATTTCCAAGTAGGACCAGGAAACTCTGGTCCAGCATGGAGATTTTTCAGGGCACTTGAAGATGCCTGATTTCTTTCTGCTCTTTCAGGCTCATGGCCAAAAGCAGGAGGGGGCTTGGCCAGCAAGCAGGAGAAACAACTTGTTGTTCTTCCTAGCTCTCAAACAGAAAATGTCTGCAGATGGTGGAAGCATCCAGGCTGCTGAGAACAAGGAGAGAGCCCAGGAGGTAAGAAGTTCTGGGGGCAGAGGCATGCCATGAAAGAAGCTGGGACAAGATAATTTTTCTAAGCAGGGTATCTGGGCAAAGGAAGAGTTAAACTCACTGGGGGTGCAGGGCTGGTGGATGGGGGAAGTGGGTTGGCGATATTGGAGAGAAGGTGGCATGATGGGAAATACCCTCTATTTGGCATTTATGGTATAACTCTTTTGCCTTGTTCAGTGAATAAAGGTAGTCAACAGGCACATGGAATAGCAGGGGTGTTCTGTGGGGTCCTCCAGTGAGGTTTTTTCTGAATTGTGCCTACTTGTTCTATGCCCCACTTCCTTCTCCCCAAGACATTTCTCTTCACCTCTCTGGGTCTGAGCTCCCAGTCCTGCCTGCACCACCTGCTGCCTGTGTGTGTGTATGTAATTACCACCTGTGGAGGACTGGGGTCTCTGGCCTTGGGGTTAGAGGACTCTGAGTCACTTGCAGGCAAGGCATGTGACTCAGGCCAGTCCTCTGACTTGTGGGAACCAGCTCTGTCCTTTGTAAAATGCAGATTCTGTACCTGTCATTCCCTCCTATCTTAGAAGAACTAATGGGATGAGATTCATCTAAGCAGTGTCAGCTCATAACTGATCATAATTTTTGATAATGAAATGATAATTCCCACAACTAGAGCTCAAGTCAGAGAAGCCTGTGTCCTCTGGCCTAGTGTCATAGTGGTTATAAATAAAAATTCACATCCAGTATTAGTGCTTCTGTGTTGTTGTTTTTCTTGGGGGAGGTTACAAGGATTGAACTCAAGGGTACTAGATCACTGAGCCACATCCCAGCCCTATTTTGTATTTTATTTAGAGACAGGGCCTCACTGAGTTGCTTAGCCGCTCATTTTTGCTGAGGTTGGCTTTGAATTCACAATCCACCTGCCTCAGCCTCCAAAGCTGCAGGGATTACAGGTGTGTGCTACTGCGCCACACTAGTGCTACCATTTTTATGCTGTGGAAGTTCAAAGAATTATTACCATTGTTTCATAACAGCTTTTTATGTGTGCCTTGAACCTGACAAGCCTTGCTGATCGACATTCTCCGTTGATGTTGAATTCTGTCAACTCTACGCAAAGTAATAATAATAATAATTACCCATACTCAGTGTTTATCCAGAAATTTCTAGAGTGGGTGGCTTTCTCTCACATATGTATGCCCCTCATGACTGTTCTAGGCAGGCAGCAGAGCAGCTGAGTCTCAGAGGCCAGTCAGGGCATTGTTAGGTCTGCCCTGGACACTCTTGACAGCTGGTCTTTCCCTTCAGGATCGACTGGAACACACGCACCACCGGGGAGGGTGAGGCAGGGATGGGTGTGACTCCCAATAGAAGGCCAGCCTTGCCTTGAGTGACATGAGAACCACCAAGGTTCTCTCAGTGAGAGGATATGTATGCCTTGCCCAGAGTTTTTGAGAGGCCTGATTGTGACTCTTTGTCTAATTCCTAGGCTTTGGTGTGTTAGTTTCCTATAGCTGTAGAAACAAGTTCCCACTGACTGGGTTGCATAAGAAAACCAGGATCTGTTCTCTCCTGGTCCTGGAAGCCAAGCTGTCAGCTGCTCCAGGCCTCCTCCAGAGGCTTTTGGCCTGGGGAGAGGTTCTTCCCACCCCTTCCAGCCTCCTGTGACTGCTGATGCTCCTTGGCTCAAGTATTGCTCCATTTCTGTTTCCTTCTCAGTGTTTCTGTGTCTTCTATTTACCTTTTTTTCTTGGGGTGGGGAAGGAGTTGAACTCAGGAGTGCTATGTCTATGTCACTGAGCTATATCCTAGCCCTTCTTCCTTTTTTTTAATACCCTATCCCTTTTAATTTTAAATTTGTTCCAATTGGTTATATATGACAGTAGTTCATTCTTATTTTGAGACAAGTTCTTGTTAAATTGTTAAATTGCCCAGGCTGATCTTGAATTTGCCATCATCCTCCCTCAGCCTCCTGAGTTGCTGGGATCTCAGGTGTGCACACCACACTCAGCTGTGTCTTCTATTCTTTTTCTTATCTTTTTTAAAAATATTTATTTATTTATTTTTTAGTTGGGCACAATATCTTTATTTTGCATTTATGTGGTGCTGAGGATCGAACCCAGTGCCTCATGCATGCTAGGTGAGCACTCTACCACTGAGCCACAATCCCAGTCCCTGTCTTCTATTCTTATAATGACCTCACTCATCCAATTTAGGGCCCACCCTAGGGGCACTTAACCACTGAGCCATATTTTTATTTAGAGACAGGGTCTCACTAATTGCTTAGGGCTATGCTAAATTGCTAAGGCTGGCTTTGAATTTATAATCCTCCTGCCTCAGCCTCTTGAGCCGCTGGGATTATAGGAATGCACCACTATGCCTGGCTCATCTTGAGATGCTTAGCTTGATTATCTCATTTTCCATTTTCTAGTCTCATCTAATCCCCAGTACTACAACAGCAACAACCACCAAAAAACCCTTTTTCCAAATAAGGTCACATTCTGTGCTTCAGGGTAGATGTGAATTGTGAAGAGACACTATGTAACCCAATCTACTTGATTTTATCATATATTAAAAAACAGCCAGGGCTAAAGATATAGCTCATTTGGTAGAGTGCTTGCCTCAAATGCACAAGTCCCTGAGTTTGATCAATCCCCAGCACCAAAAAAAAAAAAGAAAGAAAGAAACAAACAAACAACAACAACAGCCAGGCACAGTGGCACATGCCTGTAATCCCAGCAGCTCCGGAAGGTAAGGCAGGAGAATTGCAGGTTCAAAGCCAGTCCCAGCCCAGCAAAAGTGAGGCACTAAGCAACTCAGTGAGACCCAGTCTCTAAATAAAATACAAAATAGTGGGGCTGGGGCTGTGGCTTAGTGGTAGAGCGCTTGCCTCTCATGTGTGAGGCCCTGGGTTTGATCCTCAGCACCACATAAAAATAAATAAAATAAAGGTATTGTGTAAAAAATAAATAAACAAACAAACACATAAATAAATAAAATACAAAATATGAATAGGGATGTGACTCAGCGGTTGAGTGCCCCTGAGTACTATGTGTACTATGGCAATGGCTTGACAAGTCTTTCATCTCTTGCCACTCCATCCTTGCTGGGAGGTGAACTGGAGGGAGAAAGCGAGGTTAGCCCTTCAAGCTGTCTCTTGCATGTGGATGTGAGTTCTGCCAGCCGGGTTCTGATGCAGGTTGTCATTCCCAGGTTCTAGGTCATGTGCACTCCTGTCAAGAAATGCTCTCTGGACTGGAGAAGAAGATACCACACATTAAGACAGAGCCGGAAGAGGTGCACTCTGAGGGGAGCTCACAGGAGGACAGGGCTCCAGGTGCACAGGATTGGGTGCCTCTAAGTCCTGGCCCTAAGGAGAAAGCTCTCTTCTTGCCTGGGGGAGGTAGGAGAGGGATGTGGACAAAGGTGCCTGGTTAGGCAACTGTGGGGAAGGTGGAGGCCCAGCCTGGGTAGGGCTGAGGGTCCTTAACCTGGAAAGGGACCCAGATGTCTACCTGTGCATATGCCTGCCTATCTTCTTGGTTTGGGGTGGGGTGGAGTTTGAAGTGGCTGGGTGAGCAGCAGCGTCCAGCAGTTTGAGTCAGTCACCACTCTCCTCCCATAGCCCTTCCTTCTCGGATCCCCATGCTTTCCCATGAGGGGAGGACCCGAGATCGGCAGATGGCCGCAGCGCTCCTCACTGCCTGGTCCCAGGTAAGTGTCTATGTCAGTCTCTTTGCCACCTCTTCTAGCTGCCCAAGTGGAGGCGGGGCCTTCCCAGATCCCGACTTGGTGCTCAGCCCTTCCAGATCTGCTGGCTTCACATGTAAAGTCATGGCCTCACTGACCTTCCCACTTGGACCTGGAACCTGCTGCTCAGGACTCTCACTGAAGTGCAGCTGGAATCTGAATACCATTTTCCAGGCTTAGGGTCCTTGGTCACTCTGGCCACAGCTGGAGGAGGAAGTAGAGAGATGGGTCTCTGATGTGTGAATCTTCCTTTGGGGTTTGAGCTGAGGAAGGAGATCCTGAGCTTTGGCTGTGGTCCCTAAGTAGTACTGCTTTGTTATTGAAACAACTCTCCCCCAAAAAGGTCTCTTATATTTGACCATCAGGTCAGGGTAGCTGGAGGCAGCAGTTGGGAGGCTGCAATCTCACCACACGTCTTGGTGTCACTGTTTGCCCCACTGTGTCTATAGCATACCTTGGACAACATGCTTCATGTTGTTTCAGATGCCAGTGACCTTTGAAGATGTGGCTCTGTACCTCTCCCGGGAGGAGTGGGGACGTCTGGACCACACCCAGCAGAACTTCTATAGGGACGTGCTACAGAAGAGAAATGGGCTGGCCTTGGGTGAGGGCTCACCTGTAGTAGGGTCATTACCTCCCTACTGGCCCCCCATGTCAGTTCTGCTCCCTTTCCCCACTTTGTTCATTTAGACAGTAGTGTTCTGTAGAACTTTCCACAGGGATTGAAATATTCTGCATCTGCACTAGAATGGTGTCCCTAAACCCAGTGGCTGTTGAGCATTGGAAATGTGGCTAGAGCAAGTGAGTTTTTAATTTTTTTTTTTTTTTTAACTTTGCTCAGCTCAGATTGGAGCTTGAGTAGCCATGGCTGGTGGCTGCTATTTTGGACAGTACTGATCTGGGGATTCTGCTTTTCTTCTAATCTTTCATTGCTCTAATTTATCCCAGTATTTCTGTCTTCCTTCTCCAAGCCCCAGCTTTGTAGGTGTTTGCAGAGAGCTTGACTCTAGGTCTGTGGGCTGCTCTATGGGTGGCATCAGCTAACCTCTCAGGCCCTATAGGCTCTAGGGAGCCCAGGAAGCATGTGCTTCTCAGAGGGGCTTGGCTCCCTTGGTTTCTCTGATGGCAGGTAGTTAAGTCCCAGGTTTTTACTCCTTAGTTGCAGACTAGTTTTTTTGACAGAATTTGATGAGGTCTTCATTGTGATTCATTCATTCAGTAAATAGCCATTGCATACCTGCTAGTCCAGGTGCAATCTGGGCCTTTGGCAATTCCACCCTTGACTTCAGTGGTAGTCTTGAGATCTCTGTGGGATCATACCAGTCATCCTCACTCCTATAATTATCTTAGGCTTGCATACTACCCGTTGTTAATATTCCTCAGGGCCAGACCAACAAGTCCAGGCAAATCCTGGGAGATCAGAAAGAACTTAGCATCTATTTGCAGCGCCAAGGCAGGCCTCAGAGAGGCTGTAACCTACTTCATTGATCCAAAAAATCCCTTTTCTCCCACAAGTCATGACAGGAAAGGCCCCTCTGCTGTCTTACTGACTTAACTAGAATTCCCAGGGCCTCTCACCCCAGGGAATTGGCAGATGGGCCCTTTGGTCTCATGACTTCTTGGTTGTCAGTGTACCTGGCCTCTTGTCCCAGGCCCTCCCACTTGGCCTTTCTGCAGCCTCCAACCCTCCTAGCCACATGCAAGTTCAGGAGTGAGATAGCCCTTCCAATGTCTTAGGCTACTGGGCCCACTGATTGGAGACTGTGGCAAGGGAAGGGAATTGCTGTCCTCACTTGGCCTCAGAACCTGGGCTCCTCCCTTTCAGATTCAGGGAAACAGGAGTCAATTGGCTCAGCATTGGAAGGAGTATAGTTGGGTGCTACCCTGAAAGGGGATGGGAAGGGAATTTTTTTTAAGGTGCTGGGGATTAAACTAAGGGTCTCTTACATGTTAGGCAAGTAGCTTACCACTGAGCTGCACCTCAGCCCCAACACACACACCTTTTTTTTCCTTTGGTACTGGTAATTGAACCCCAGGTGCTCTGCCACCGAGTTATGTTCCCAGATGCCTTTTAAATTCTTTTTTTTTTTTTTTTTGGTACTGGAGATTGAACTCAGGGGCACTTGACCACTAAGCCACATTCCCAGCCCTATTTTGTATTTAGAGACAGGGTCTCACTGAGTTGCTTAATGCCTGTCGTTGCTGAGGCTGGCTTTGAACTCAGGATCCTCCTGCCTCAGCCTCCTGAGCCGTTGAGATTACAGGCATGTGTCACTGCCTCCGGCCCTTTTTAATTCATATATATATATATATCTTTATTTTATATATCTTTATTTTATTTTTCTATGATGCTGAGGATTGAACCCAGGGCCTCGAACATGCTAGGCCAGCGCTCTACTGCTGAGCCACAATCTCAGCCCCATTTTTCATTCTTTTGTGTTTTGAGACAATCTTGCTAACTTGCTGGGGCTAGCCTTAAATTTGCAATTCTGCGTCAGCTTCTGGGTTGATGAGATCATGGGTATAAGCCACCATCCCTGCCTGGCCTGAAGCAGTTTTTGAGCGCTTGTTGATTTGCCTCATGTTTCTGGAGCCTCACTTGCCCCTCTTTTTTTTTTTTTTTTTTTAATATTTTTATTTTTTTAGTTTTCGGCGAACACAACATCTTTGTTTGTATGTATTGCTGCGGATCGAACCCGGGCCACACGCACGCCAGGGAGTGCGATACCGCTTGAGCCACATCCCCAGCCCTCACTTGCTCCTCTTGCCCCATCAGTTTTTAGAGGGATGATGTCTACAGTTGGCAGCTCCAGAAGTTCTTTGCTGAATGTGTCCTCTTTCTGGATAGGGTTTCCCTTCAGCAGGCCTCTCTGGGCCGCCCAAGTGCAGGGAAAGGGCGAGGCTGCCAGCTCCAGCCGGCAGACGGGAGCTGAGAAGGAAGAGAAGAGAGGCCCTGGTTCAGGTGAGGGACTTGGTCTGTGCCTTGGTCTGGGGAAGGACCGTTTGCCCAGTCATTCCCGGGTACTCCTTGTTGATATGGACTTTCTGTTTTTTGTGGGTGCAGGGCCACTAGATGGCTCCTCCCTAAAGGGTGGTTCTTGGCTCCAGATTTCCCCTACTTCCTTTTCCCCTTTCCTATCTCCCAGAATCCATCCCCTGGATTTCCTGTGGGTTCCCCACCCTCTGGGGCCCTTCCAGGAGCTTGTCTCTCTGGAAACCCTCTCTCTTTCTCCAGGAACCTTGGAGGTGGGGAAGGAGGTGCCAACTGCACCCATGGGAGCCCTAGGGGATGTGAAGCCCTTGCCAACCAAAACCCGGCGGGCCCCAGGGGGTGTCCTGCAGTGGGGGCAGCAGGGAGCCAGTGGTCAGAACGCTCTGTCAGCCAGAGATGCAGAACAGCTGGCTCCTCTGGAAGCAAGAGAGTCAAATCCAGCCCCTCCTGTGAAGGCACTGGAGGGCCATGACCCAGAAAAACCCAACAAGGACGAGAAGGGTGCCACAGACAGCGGTGAGGAGGGCCTGGCCCCTGATGGTGATCTAGGCAAGAAGACCTACAAGTGCGAGCAGTGTGGCAAGAGCTTCAGCTGGCATTCGCACCTGGTGACACACCGGCGCACGCACACGGGTGAGAAGCCCTACGCCTGTACGGACTGTGGCAAGCGCTTCGGCCGCAGCTCGCATCTCATCCAGCACCAGATCATCCACACCGGTGAGAAGCCCTACACCTGCCCCTCGTGCTGGAAGAGCTTCAGCCACCACTCGACACTGATCCAACACCAGCGCATCCACACTGGTGAGAAGCCCTACGTGTGTGACCGCTGTGCCAAGCGCTTCACGCGCCGCTCGGACCTGGTCACACATCAGGGCACCCACACTGGTGCCAAGCCGCACAAGTGCCCCATCTGCGGCAAGTGCTTCACACAGAGCTCAGCCCTGGTCACCCACCAGCGTACCCACACTGGCGTCAAGCCCTACCCTTGCCCAGAGTGTGGCAAGTGTTTTAGCCAGCGCTCCAACCTCATCGCACACAACCGCACGCATACAGGCGAGAAGCCCTACCACTGCCTCGACTGCGGCAAGAGCTTCAGCCACAGCTCTCACCTCACTGCCCACCAGCGCACCCACCGCGGTGTGCGGCCCTACTCCTGCCCACTCTGCGGCAAGAGCTTCAGCCGGCGCTCCAATCTCCACCGGCATGAGAAGATCCACACCACTGGTCCCAAGGCCCTGGCTATGCTGATGCTGGGAGCTGCAGCTGCTGGGGCTCTGGCTGCACCCCCACCTGCTCCCACCTAGGGTGGGGGCAGCGCACCCAGGGCAGCTGCGACAGCCCCATTGAATTTGGGCCCTGTGTAGGAGCAACAGCCTTTGCTCCTGGCCTTGGTGGAGGTGGTGGGAGCCAAGGGTTGAGGGAAGGGAGCCTGGGAAGTACAGGCGCAGGGTGGGGCATGGCAACGTGGGAGGAGCTTGGGTGAGAAGGCACAGGCACTTAGGGCAAATTAAAGACCTTGGAATTCAAGCTGTGGACTACTGCTCTGTCTTGTGGGCACTGCTGAACCCCGGGGAGTGGGGGGGCTCCTGGGTCAATCATGTGTCCTCATTCATCCCTGACTCACCTGCTCTTGTTTTGGACACCCTTATCTTCTTCAGCCTTGAGTACATTTGAGGTCCCTTTGGCCAGAGCCCATTTTAGAAGTTGGAATAAATCTATGAACAGAGGCTTCTGAATGCAGACAAGTTTCCAAGTCTGAAGCCAGCCACTCCTGTAAATGGACCCCTGGTGGGGATGTCTGCTGCTGCTATAATATCCCAAGAAAGTTCACTGCCCACTAATCTCTGGACTCTTCTTTGGCTCCTCTCTTTGGGAAGTGGGAGTTGGACACAGCCAGTCTGAAAAACTTCTGCTCAGTGTTTCCTGCTGTCCCCATCTCCTTTCAGGCACTGTGGCTGTTTTGTTATTGGCCCTTTTCTTCCATTTCCATTGGGGTCACTTACCAGGTACCACTTTGCTTCCTGTTCCATTATGCATCTACTGTCACCTCTTCTCTGTTGCTTCTTACCTAGTTGACCTTTGTAAGTTCTTTGTAATTTGTCCTTCCTACCTTCCCCTGCCTGATTCTACTTTAGTCCTAGTCTTCTGTTTTAACCTCTGTGGCTTCCATTTCCCACTGTCTTTTTCCTCGAAGGAGTAGATTCTGCCTATTATGCTATACTTGTGGCTCAGCTGCTAAAGTAACATTCAGCTCATACCAGCTAATTATGAGAATATCTGCATCAGGGAGCCACAGAGACTCTACTTCTTCATAAATCCACCAGGATACCTGCAGCCCTGGTTGGCTCCAGCTCCTAATGGCTTGAACAGGATGACTGGGAATAGTAACAATAGCTGCCAGTTGTTAACTGTTCTAGGCATGAAGCCAAGTCCCCATGTATATCACCTCTACTCTCTGCAGTTGAATGGATTTTATTGTCTGAGTTTTATAAATGAGGAAACAGGATAAGAGAAAAGTCCAGTCACTTGCCCAGAATCATACAACCAGAGAGCTAGAAATTGGTGTCATATTTGTATCGGATGTCTCATGTTTTTAATATATTTTTTATTGGACACAATACCTTTAATTATTTTCATGTGGTGCTGAGGATTGAACCCAGGGCCTTATATGTGCTAGGCAAGTGCTCTACCGCTGAGCCACAACCCTAGCCTGTTTCATGTATTTTTTTTTCTTTTTTAAATTCTTTTTTTTTAAAAGAGAGAGTGAGAGGAGAGAGAGAGAGAATTTTTAATATTTATTTTTTAGTTCTCGGTGGATACAACATCTTTGTTGGTATGTGGTGCTGAGGATCGAACCCGGGCCGCACGCATACCAGGCGAGCGCGCTACCTCTTGAGCCACATCCCCAGCCCAATGTTTCGTGTATTTTTAAAATTCATTCTGCAGTAGGGTCTTGTGCATGCTAGGCAAGCACTCTGCCACTAAGATACATCCACAGCCCTTTTTTAAGACACTTGTGTCAAGCTGGTCTTACTGGATTGCCTAGGCTGGCCTTGAGCTTGTGATCCTCCTGTTTCTGTCTCTGGAGTAGTTTGGATTATAGGCATGGACCACTACTCCCAGTTTGGTGTTTTATCCTGTAAGAAATATCCTTATTTCCATGTGCCTCTGTTTCTGTCTAGTAATATTATATTATGAGGCAGGACTGTCTAAAAAAAGTAGAACAGTCAATGGTCTTGACCACCAGGGACATTGGATTCAATTGAACACCGGGGTGGTCTGGGGCATACAGTCAGCTGGACACAGATGAGCTGTTGACTGGTGGAGCCAGGCAAGCTTTGATGGAGTCTTGCTGAAAGCAAGCAGATTGCTTTCTTCAGCTTATCCTCATAGTTCTAGTCAGCCAGAAATGGGATTCCTCTGCTTGACTTAGTGTGAGAGGCTGAGGGGGGCTGTCACTTGTAAAGCAGTTGCTGTCAGGGAGGTTTTTTTGGTAGTGGGGATTGAACTCAGGGGTACTCAACCACTGAGCCACATCCCTAGGCCTATTTTGTATTTTATTTAGAGACAAGGTCTCACTGAGTGAGTCTGGCTTTGAACTCAAAGATTCTCCTGTCTCAGCCTCCCAAGCAGCTGGGACTAGGGCATGCATCACCGCACCTGGCTTGTCAGGGAGCTTTTTTAGTGAAGGGGACACATTGGAAGCGGCCGTACTTGTCACAGTGCGTAGCACAGAGGTCCCATTTGCACAGTGAGTATTCCCTACTTTGATTTCAGTTCCTCAGACTGTGTGGCTGACCCATTGGAGACCAGGTGTCAGGACTTGAGCCAGCCGCAGAGTTGTGGAATGATTCAGGCAGTCATTTATAATCTTCACTCTGGCTTCTGGATAGCTCAGATCACAATATCCAGGAGAAATGTTTCTCCTCTTATGGCAGAGTGCAGAGAGGGATGTGATTCCAAGGGCCTCATGGATAGTAAACTGCACATCACCTCTGCCGAGGCTATGTCCACTTCTGCCCATCCGCCTAGAAGCCACCATTCTGGGACGGGTCTGGCAAAAGTATGTTAACAGTGGAAGGTGGCACTTTGGAAAATATTTTATAAGAGCAAATAAGAGGGGCTGGAGATGTGGCTCAAGCGGTAGCGCGCTCGCCTGGCATGCGTGCGGCCCGGGTTCGATCCTCAGCACCATATACCAACAAAGATGTTGTGTCTGCCGTGAACTAAAAAATAAATATTAAAAAAAAAAAAAAAAGAGCAAATAAGACTGAGGAAGCAGTTGGGGTTGGTTTGTGGAAGGGCCTCTAGTATCAGATACAAGCGTACTCATAATTGGATGGGTGATGGGTGGGAGACTAGGGGAAGAAAGCCAGAGAACCATCTTGATGTCTGGGTAGAGAGTGAGGCGGCTGAGAGGCCTGGCCTGGCCTATGCTCACATCCTACATTTCAGCTGCTCCGCCACTATAGAACTCAACCTGAATGGTTTACCGTTGACCTGCTCCGCCAAGAGAGGTTGGAGAGCGAGCGGCCTGTATTCAGGGCCCAGCTGGCTTCCCCGTCTTGCCTGGCCGGCCCGGTCGTCGGCCTCTGCTCATCTCTAGCCGGGGACCGTTCCTGGGAGCTGAGGAGCTTCCTCCTGGATCTCCCCCTACAGCCGGACCTCTAGAACCGCAGGCCCCGCCCCTGATGCCCTCAACCAATCAAATGTCGGGGCGAGGGCGTCTCCAGCAGAACTGGCCAATCACGGCTAACGTTTGTGCCCACTGCGGCGTTTCCCGGGCAAAGGTTTGAGGTTCTACCTTTGAAGCGCTCGGGTTTCATGCGTTGGATGTCAGAGAAACTAGCGACCCGGGTGCTGGGCTTCCCCGTGGATCCCTGAGTCTTTACAGCCCTCCCACCGCTGACTTCCGGAGTCCTGCGCTGCGAAGTCTAGGTGCCGGGCTGGGCCCGGACCACTTCCGACTTCCCTCGGCCACTTCCGGTCCAAACGACCGCCTGCAAGTATTCTACTTCGAGGGAGTCCTTGGCATCTGCACCGAACTCGTGAGACCCGTGTCTCCCGCTCGCGGTTCTGCATCTTCCCAGCTCCCAAGCAGTGGCCCAGGGTATTGCCGCGGGAGAGGCAGGCGTGGGTGCGGCCAGCAAGATGTAGGCATCTTCAGGGAAGCTGCTGAGGCGCGCGGTGCTCTTGATGGACGTGGCTCTTGATGCTGTGATAGGTTAGGGCGGCAAGAAACGTGAACAAGAGGGGCTTTGCTGCCTTATCTCCTCCAGATTTATTTGGTACCGGAGATTGAACTCAACTCCACCACTGAGCCACATCCCGTTTTGTATTTTATTTATAGAGTTGCTTAGCACCTCGCCATTGCAGAGGCTGGCTTTGAACTCACGATCCTCGTGTCTCGGGCTCCGGAGCCACTGGGATTACAGGTGTGCGTCACCACGCCCGGTTTATCGCCATTATTTTCAAATATGAAATGAACGGTTGCATTTCAAGCCTTTTGCTAAAAGTTGAGGACGAAAAAGCCAGGCAAGACCTTTGCCTTTGTCAGCGGAGGAAATTGACAAATAGAAATGACACATTAATTACTAGTAGTGGCGAATGCCAGAAAGAAAGGAACTAGGCGAAGCAGTAGAAGATGGTAGGAACTAACCCTTTTAGGGAAGGAGACATTTTTAAATTGTCTTGAAGGCTGAGAAAAAGCTGTTTTGTAAGATTTTGGAGGAAGAACGTTTCAAGCAAATGGAATGGGTGTTCCAGGAGCTGAATTGACATTCCTGTCTCCTGAGACCACTTTGTACTAATTATCAGACAGGTCCAAACAGAAGAGAGAAAACAGTGTTTTGAACAGGTGTGCGTCACCACACAATTTGAACAGGGAAATTTTTATGTATGGAATTATTAGCTGTGAAAGATTGCATTCAGAAAGGGTTGACTAGTGAGAAGACCTCTATTTAAGTCATAGGGTCACAGCAGATAGCAGCAACAGCCACAACCTAGGTTGAATTGGAACACTCATAGAAGAGGGTTTCCCTGTTCCTGTACTGAGACCCAAACAGTGGAGTAGGCATGTCTGAGGCTCACTGAGTTTCAGGGAAATGGCTGTTGTATCCACAGGTGAAACTTGATAGAAATCCATCTTGAAGGATGATCACAGAGCAATGAATCATCAGACACCTGTTGTCTCAGCTACAAATTCATACTGTGGGAGTTCCTGCTACAGACACCTTCCAGGCTGCAGGAGCTTGGGCTGGGGAGCCCCTGGGTATTGCATAAGTCTTCCTAGTGAACACCAGAATCTGGAAGAGAAACCCCATCCTCTTACAGTGTTTCTCTAGTGCCTTTTACTGACAAAGCCTAACATCATGCCAGTTGGCAAAGGAAAATGAGGCGGGGTTCACTTTATTTAGCAGGCAACTGAAGGAAAAATTTGGAGCTGGGACATATTGGTAACTGGAACAGGTTTATATTATCATTCTATAACATCCTGATAAGCCCTCTATATAACATCCCTTTACCAGCCACTGGCACTAAGCTCCATTATGTCTTGGGTTATATGGCTGACAGAGCAGATCAACCAATACAAAACTGGAACATTTTTTTTAATATTTATTTTTTAGTTATCGGCGGACACCAGGTGTGCGTGCTACTGCTTGAGCTACATCCCCCCCTGGAACATATTTACATTATTTAGAAATGGGTCACTCAATAGTTCCCCATGCCAGAGCAAACTGTGGCCTTGAATCATTGCCTGGCCTCTGCCTGTATTCTACAGGCACTGAAATGGGTTGCATAGTGGAAAAACAGTGTGTCACTCAAGCAATCCTGTAGGGAAGCCCCCACGGGAAACTTTGGTCTCCTGCCAATAGCTATGTGTGTGATCCAAGGATGACTGGGGCTCCCATTGACATTGTGATGGTAACATCTGAAAAGATCCTGAGCCAGAACTTAAAACTGAGTGAGATAATGTGGTTTTTTTTTTTTTTTTTTTTTTGTTCCAAGGATTGAACTCAGGGATACTTAACCATTGAGCCACATTCTCAGCCTCTTTTTATTTTATTTGTGGGGGGCTTTTCACAGTTTAATTATGACAAATATTCTGCATCTACAATTATCTCCAGTCAATTTTAATTTTTTTTGTGTGGTTGTAGATGGACAGAATGTGTTTATTTACTTATTTTTATGCAGTGCTAGGAAGGAACCCAGTGCCTCACACATGCTAGGCAACTGCTCTGCCACTAGCCATAGTCCCAGCCCCACCTCCCTATCCTTTTTTTTATTTTGAGACAGACTCACTAAGTTGCTTAGGGCCTCACTAAGTTGCTGACACTGGCTTTGAACTTGCAATCCTCCTGCCTCAGTTTCTCAGGCCATTGGGATTATAAACATGCACCATCACATCTGCAGATAACAATTTTTTATTATAAACCACCAAGTTTCAGAGAAATTTGTTACACAGCAATAGATAACTAATACATAGAACATTTATATTATTTTGTGTTTCTATCACATTTGAATCATAACACAAGGTCTTCATTAAAAAGTATGTCCTCTAGCTGGGCACAGTGGTGCACATCTGTAATCTCAGCAGCTGGGGAGGTTGAGACAGCAGGGGATGTGGCTGGGGATGTGGCTGGGGATGTAGCTCAGTGGTTGAGTGCTCCTGAGTTTGATCCCCTGAACAAAAGAAAAAAAAATATATATATATATGTATGTACTGGGACTGAGGTTGTGATTCAGTGGTAGAGCGCTTGCCTAGCATGTGCAAGGCACTGGGTTTGATTCTGAGCACCGCTATAAATAAATGAATAAAATAAAGGTCCATCAACATCTAAATTTCTTTTTTTAAAAAAGAATATATGTACAGAGTAGCTGGGAATGTAGCTTAGTGGTATCACACTTGGCTAGCATGTGCAAGGTCCTTGATAAATCCCCAGAACCACAAAAGGGGAAAAAATACAAACACACACATAAGTATATACACAGGCCAAGGGAAGAGGATCACAAGTTTTAAGCCAGCCTCAGCAACTTAATGAGACCCTGACTCAAAATAAAAAGGTCTGGAGATAGAGCTCAGTGATAAAGCACAACTGGGGATATATATATTTGGGTAGCTCAGTGGTAGTGGTGCTTAAAGATGGAAACTCAAGTGCTCATTATTTTGCTTTCAGGGCACATTTTTTTTTTTTTAACTGGGGATTAAACCCATGGGCACTTAACTGAGCCACATCTCCAGCCATTTTTTGTATTTTATTTAGAGACAGGGTCTCACTGAGTTGCTTAGAGCTTTGCTAAGTTGCTGAGGCTGGATTTGAACTCATGATCCTCTTGCCTCAGCCTCCCAAGCTGCTGGGATTACAGGTGTGGGCCACCACACCGGCTCAGAGCTGCAATTTTAATTATTCCACTTGAGGTTATAAGTTGAAGTACTATCCATGCAACTTGAAAAGATCCTCTATGGGTTTAGAGTAGGTTGAGTAATAACCCCAAAGTATTCCTAATCTCTAGAATTTAAAAATGTTTCCTTATTTAGAAAAATAATCTTTGTAGATGTGATAGAGTTAAGGATTATAACATGATGAGATCATGCTGGAATGTTAAGGTTTTTATAAAAGGGGGTCAGAAGGAGATTTGACTACAGGAGGGAGGAGAGGTGCTGACAGAAGCTGAGTGAATGATGCACTTTGAAGACAGAGGAAGGGGCCAATAAGCCTGTACCTCTATGAGCTGGAATTGACAGTTGAATTCTCTGAAAGCTGCCAGAAGGAACTAGCCCTGCAAACATCTTGAAATGGACCCAATGAGATAAATTTCAGTCTTCTGGTCTTCATATTTGTCAGATAATAAATTTGTTTTGTCATAAGACACCAAGTTTTAGAATTTATATTAGAAAATTAGTGTGCTTGATCCCTCAAAAATAGCAATTTGGAGCTGGGTGCAGTGACGCAGGCCTGTAATCCCAGCAACTCAGGAGGTTGAAGGAGGATTGCTAGTTTGAGGCCAGCCTCAGCAAATTAGTGAGCCACTATCTCAAAATATAATAAAAGGACTGTGGATATAATCAGTGGTAAAGCACCCTTGGGTTCATTTCCAGTTTAAAAACAAAACAAACACCGTTCAAAGCCAGCCTCAGCAAAAGTAAGGTGTTAAGCGAATTCAGTGAGATCCTGTCTCTAAATAAAATACAAAATAGGGCTGGGGATGTGGGGCTCAGTGGTCTAATGCCCCTGAGTTCAATCCTGGTACCCTCCCAAAACCAAACATCAAACAAAAACAAAAACTTGGCTGGAGATAATTCAGTGGAAGAGCACTTGTCAAACATGTACCACACACTGGGTCTGATTTCCAGCACCACCAAACAAACAAAACAAACCCCCCAAAATTCCAGCAACTTGCTATTAACAGGTGGCAGCAAGTAAAATACTATTTTGGTCATACATATGACAAGCAAGAAGGTACTCATGTAACCAATGGCCATGTAATGCTTAAGGCTCTCTGACTGACACAAAGAAAGCCAGCAAAAACAAAAGGGGGAATTTTTTTGTAAAGAGACAAGACAGTGGGGCTGGGGATGTGGCTCAAGTGGTAGCGTGCTTGCCTAGCATGCGTGCGGCCCAGGTTCGATCCTCAGCAGCACCACATACCAACAAAGATGTTGTGTCCACCAAGAACTAAGAAAAAATAAATAAATGTTAAAATTCTCACTCTCTCTTAGAAAAAAAAAAAAAAGAGACAAGACAGTGTCATGGAACATGTAGGTCTCAGGCAGGGCCTGGGACCAAGGAAGCTTTTCCAGTCTCTTTATTTTTTTTTTTCCTGTGGCCTCCCTCAGGCCACTCCCATCTTCCCCTGTGGATGCATTCTTATTCACTGATATTTTAAATATTTATTTTTTAGTTATAAGTGGATACGATATCTTTTTTATTTTATTTTTATGAGGTGGTGAGGATCAAACCCAGTGCTTCACGTGTGGTAGGCGAGCACTCTACCTCTGAGCCTCTCAACAATCTCAGTTGATCTTGTATATAGAAAACAAGAGGAAAGAACACTGTCAGTTCATGAATCTACTCTACAGGGCAACAACACAGAAAAGTGACTGGAATCTCCCTTAGTCCCAGTTCTCAATTCCAAGTAGAGAGGAGCAAGTGAACTCAGTCGGAGTGAAACAACTCTCTCTTTCCCCATGGCAGTCCATTTGGTGGGACAGATTCACAGAATGCAAACATGGCCACCAAGGACCTGGGAAGGATGGGGAAGGCTGGATAGGCACTATGAGAAATGCATTACACCTTGTATTTGTCAACTCCAAACAGAATATTGTTCCTAAATTTGCAGCCCGTGATAGCCTCCCATCCCAGGGACACAGGGCTCCAACACCGCTCAGTGCCTGCAGTTTTGGAGAAACGCCCATGTTTCCTCACAGGTGCTTAATGCCTACCTGGGAAGCGCACTTGGTCACCTTCCACAGCACATGATGCACGGAGCCATGCTCTCCCAAAACGTGCCGCTCAAGCCAGGGCCTCTACATCGTCCAATGCGCTAACGCAGTGACACACCCCGTTGCTTTATAGTGCAAAAAAAAAAAAAATCTGCCCTTGGTTAAGCCAGGAAGGACCAGGTGATTGACTTGCTGTCTTCTCTAAATTATTGAATGGAAATTTAATGGTCCTGAAATGCTGGCCCATTTACTAGTCTTTGCCAGTAGAGGGCGTTAGAAGAACGCTGTAAGGCCGGAGCTGGAGAAAGGGACTTCCGTCTTTCCAGGGCAGGCCGACAGAGAGCAGGTGAGGAAACCTTGGGCATTCACTTCCAGCAAGTTTTCCCTGACTGCCAGCTGTGTGCACTTGTCACAGCGGTGGGCTCTTAGAGGTCCAAATCTCCGCCTTGAATTGAAAAGGGGGAAAGTTTTGAGTTTGTGCCCTCAGTCCTAAAAGTAGAATTTGCTTTCTGCAGTTGCTACTTCTGAAACTTTTAGAGACTCTCTTGACTCTTTCAGTAGGTAACATTTTTTTGTGTGACTTAACAAATCTTTGTATCAGATTTTGTTCAAATTATTGAGGTGGTTTTTTAAAAAAAATATTTTATTAGTTATTGATGGACTTTATTGATTTGTTTTATATGTGGTGCTGAGAATTGAACCCAGTGCCTCACACATGCTAGGCAAGTGCTCTACCACTGATCTACAATCCCAGCCCTACTTACACTTTTTTTAAAAATATTTTTTTAGTTGTGGTTGACAAAATACCTTTATTTACTTATTTATTTTTTATATGGTGCTGAGAATTGAACCCAGGGCCTCGCATGTGTGAGGCGAGCACTCTACCGCAGAGCCACAACCCCAGCCCCACTACTTACATGTTTTTAATCTCCTGCTTGAAGTAAATAATACAATGGGGAAAAATATTCACAACCATAAAATTATAAACGAACTTGAAAAAAAGAAACAACCTATTTTTAAAAAGACCAACTGAGGGGCCTGGGGATGTGGCTCAAGTCGTAGCGTGCTCGCTTGGCATGCGTGCGGCCCGGGTTCAATCCTCAGCACCACATACAAAGATGTTGTGTCTGCCAAAAACTAAAAAATAAATAAATATTTTTTTAAAAAAAGACCAAATGAAGAGACTATAAAATTTTACTAAAATACATTACAAATGTATATTTATGCATGGGAAAACATTATTGTAAAAACATTGTATCTCCCCAATATTAAGCTACAGACTTAAAAATTCAATTAAATGTCAGTGCTGTAGCAGGGTGTTCAAGCAAATGCACTAAGGTATATATACAGGTTTATTTGTAAATTCCAAAAATTGTAAACGATCTAAACGTCCAAGGGTACTTTGTTTTTTGTTTGTATATCTGATCCTATTTTTTAAAAAATATTTTTCTTTAGTTGTAGATTAAAACAATGACCTTATTTATTTATTTTTATGTGTTGCCTAGGATTGAACCCAGTGTCTCACACGTGCCAGGCCAGTGCTCTACCACCAAGCTACAACTCTAGCCATGTCCGATCCTATTTTTTAAATTACCTTCTCTTTCCAGACTTTGGTGCATTATAATTATGCATAATAGTGAAATGCATTGTTACATATCTGTACCTGCACACAACATAATATAGTCAGTTTCATTCCCCAGTACCTCGCCTTTGCCTCCCCTCCTCCCTCCCCTATCTTACTGGAAGGAGAGTGCTTTAAATAAAATATGGAACTTCCATGCTGTGGAATACTATGCAGCTTATAAAACTGATACATTTTATTTGTACATACTGACACTAAAAGATATCTATACTATTGAATCAACAGAATATGACTTAGTGATTCCTGATTTGTCTTAGAAATATGGTTATAGATATACAACTGTAAGAACACACTACAACATGAATAGTGCTTATTTGTGGATGGTTGTATTAGGGATTTTTGCTTAAAAAAAAAAACAACTTCATTCATCCCACCAGTGTTTCCTGATCACCTATCACGTACCAGGTACGCTTTCAGGTGCCAGAGGCAAGGTAGTAAAAAGTGTCTGCACTCATGTAGCTACTTACAGTTGAGTAGTGAGAGACAATTACACAAATACGTGATGTCAAACAATAAACATCAGGAAGAAAAATAAGGCAGAGTAGAGATTGTTCAGAGTTAGAGAAGACCTTTTTGAGGGGGTGACATTTGAGCAGAGTGAGGAAGCTAACCTCATGCAAAGGGATACCTTTATAATTTTCCAATCTTTTTTATTTTCTACATCAAGCATGCAATACGTGCATGACCGAAAAAAGAAAGCGCTTTTCACTTCTGAAAATTTTGAGCCTGAAATCTCGAGGCATGGAGAGGGTGCGAGCGGGTCCAAATGTAAGGAAACAAAAACCTCGAGATTCGCGGATTCGGCCCCCCAGCTTTGGACGCTTCTGGGCCCTAGGTCCCCCTCCGCTCTTCAGCTCTGCGCAGACAGAGCTGTGATGGGAGGGTGCGGGGATCCGCCTGGGACACCGCAGGGCAGCGAAAGACTTGGGAGAAGTGGGACCCAGGGTTCCGGAAGCGTGTCTAGGGAGCCGAGGCCCCCGGGCCCTGCACCTACTCGTTGGAGCCAAGAAACTGGAGCGGAAGGAGGAAACCTCCCCAGAGCATCCCTTCCGGTGGAACAGGCGCTCCACTCGTGTGGCTGGGCCAGGTGTGGTCGCTGCTCGTCAGGCCAGCCCTAGCTTCCTATTTCCACTGTTCAAGGGCCGGAGGCTCAGAGAAAAGCAAAAGGAAACCGCAGTTGAAGGAAGGGAGGGCAAACCAAAAAGCACATCCAAGCCCTTCGCATCCGGTACCTGGGTATTGATGCGGCGTTGCTGCTTGCTGATTGGCCATCTCTAGGAATTCTCTCTGTTCATTGGCTGTTTGTTGGAAAACTTCCGGTCCCCGGCTTGGTATAAATGGTGCGACTCGCAGTGGCGCATGCACCGCGTGGTTTCCCGGCGAGCCCCGCGCGGGCTTCCGGCGCCTGGGACTGGCAGCGGAACTGGGGACACCAGGGCGGTTGTGGGCGGTGTGTCTCGGGGGCGGGGACTGGCGACGCGGGCCTCCGGGCTCCAAGGTCGGGAGCGGAGCCTTGGGTGGCCCTGGCCCGCGCCCCGAGGCGTAGGCCGAAGGGGTTGTGCTCCGCTGGGAAGCCCTAACGCCCCTGTTGCCCGCTTGGTCTCCGGGCAGACGCCCCTGCGCGCCCGCTTTCCTTCAGCTCCGCGCAGGCAAGGCTGCTGGGGGACAGCGCGGGGCTCCGGCCGGGTCAACGTACCCGCCTGCCGCGTCCTGCCGTGCGACCCTGGTGAGTGAGTCCTGGCCTCTCCGGGGAGACCTCCTGTCAGTGGAGGACGAGAATGGCGCGCGTACCTTTCAAGAGACTCGTGAAGAGCAGAAGAGTGAATAAAGTGCTTAGTGTGTAATAGAGAAGAATTGGAAACAACTCGAATGCATTACTTGGGTATTGGTTAAGAAACCCAAGTACACCCATACCACGTAAGCTCATAGTGCTCCTAATGAAAGAAACCTTCTCATTTATGTAAAACAACACATCAAGCACTTTTTTTTCCGTTTATATGGATAGGATAACATTTTTATTAAAAGCACAGGAAAAGACCTGAGACGTCATTTGCCAGACTGTCAAGGAGGGAGAGTTGCAACCACATCGAGAAAGGGGGTCTTTTCTATGTACTTGTATATTTTTTAAATCTCTCCCTTTTTTAGATGTTTGTGTTTATTGCTTTAAAAAATTCAGAATACACTTATCAGAATTTTGAAGGGTAACAACGTAAAATGTAACTTGGCAGTTTAAGTGTTAAGAGTAACAAAGTCCAAATATGTCACACATTCATCTATAAAGCCTTTCTCTGACACCCCCAATGCCAGATGTTTTGGGATTCAGAAGTTTTCAAATTTGAGAAAGATAATACAATGCCCCTATGGTATATTAAGTAACACCTACAAAGGGATTGGGGGGCAACACTGAACTACAATAATTAAAAACTTTAATTGAAATATACACATGGAAAAATGTCGTAAGTATAGTTCAATGAATCTTTACAGACAACAAATACATTAGTATTTTTTGCCATAAAACATGAACATTTACATTAAGTGCTATAAATATAAACATAAATATGCTCATATCAGTAGTAGGTCTAGTAGTACTACAAGTGAGTGAGATTAAGTTTTGTAATCAAATGAGTCAGAAAAAACCCAGGGTTTTTATTTCAGGCTTGGTGATAGAGGTGTGGACCTCTATTAGTAGGAAAGATTGTTACATACAACAAAACATAGCCAGGCACCAAGGTACATGCTTGTAATCTCAGCTACTCTCCCACCTACTAGGGAGGCTGAACCAGGATAATTGCAAGTTTGAGGCCAGTCTGAATAAATTGGGAGACCCAGTCTTCAAAAAATAAAATGGACTGGGGATGTAGTTCTGTGGTAAAACACCCCTGGGTTGGATCCCCAGTAGCTACCCCCCTCAAAAACAAACAACAACAACAACAAAAAAAAAAACAGAATAAGGCATTAGAGTAAAGCCTAAAAACTGCTCCAGGGCACCAATGGATGGGTACTGGAGTCCCTGGATCTTGGATGTCCCTTTAGCTGATTGTTTGCTCATGTATTCCACCCTTCCCCAAATCCTGCTGGTTTGCTCTTTCCCCAGGAGTGTGTGTCTAGATGCCAGCCCAGCCACCACAGGGGATCCCTCTGGGAGATTGAAAGGGTCAGCTGAGGCCAACCAGCCCTGAGCCTTAGGCCAGGGGAATGGCATCCCCCTGGGAGCACCAGGACCAGGCTCCTGAGGAGGGAGAAGGACTTCTGATTGTGAAGGTGGAAGATTCCTCCTGGGAGCAAGAATCTATCCAGCAGGAAGACAGCAAGGATTCTGAGGCCTGCCGCCAGCGCTTTCGTCAGTTCTGCTATGGGGATGTGGGTGGGCCGCATGAAGCCTTCAGCCAGCTCTGGGAGCTCTGCTGCCGTTGGCTTAGGCCTGAACTGCACACCAAGGAGCAGATTCTGGAGCGGTTGGTGCTGGAGCAGTTTCTGACAGTGTTGCCAGGGGAGATCCAGGCCCAGGTGCGGGGACAGCTCCCAGGGAGTGGCGAGGAAGCTGTGGCCTTGGTGGAAGACCTACAGAAGCAGCCAGTGAAAGCCTGGCTGCAGGTGAGGGGCCCCTCCCAGATCCAGATGGTCTTGAGCTGAAGAGAAGTGGCCATGTCCATGGAGATGAATCTCCAGGAGGCTCACAGGGTAGGGGAGACCCTAAGCCCGAGGGAGTAAGCACAAAAGCATGATATAACACATATTGCCTTTCTGAAAGACGAGTCCAAAGTAAATATGATTGCTTTATTTTTGGTGGTTTCACTGGGCAAAGTGGGCTTGTTCCAGAAAAAAGGTTTCAACTTCTTTAGGATCTACAAATGTATATTCATGTTCTGCTCTAGGCCAGGCCCTGGGCATACAGTAATATGCATGAGAGCTCCAGAAGGGTATGAGAAGGTAGAGCTGTCTGTGAACACCCTGCTGTCATGTGGTGTGTTGGGTACTTGAGACTGGAAGCATCTGGGAGGTGTTGATGATCTGCTGCTGTGAGCTCTGACCTGGCAGTAGGGCTGGTTCTTGCATCATGATTGATGGGGAGTATCTTTGGGCACACAGCACTGCCTTGCGTTACATTCTCCTCTGGGGTTTTCATGGGGCTCCATATTGCTCTCCTTTTCAACACCCCAGCCTCCTGAGGGACATGTCCTGTGTCTCCTTCCCAGGGATTAAACTCTGTCTCCCCCGTCTGATCTCGGTGCTGATGAGCATGTTGTGGTTCCTGCACAGGATGTGCCCTCAGAGGAGGTGGAACCTGAGTCTGCAGTCCAGAGATCCCAGGCCAGGGGGCCTCTGCTGATGGTGGGGGCATGGAGCCAGCCGCCTGTACCCCAGGAGCAGCATAGCCACAATGGTAAGTAAGCCTCTACAAGAGTAGGCAGCAGGGCTGGGGTTGTGGCTCAGTGGTAGAGTGCTTGCCTGGCATGTGTGAGGCCCTGGGTTCGATTCTCAGCACCATATAAAAATAAAATAAAGGTATTGTGTCCAGTTACACCTAAAAAAAATGAAATAAAGTATTTAAAAAAGAAAAATAGGCGCCAGCAGAATGGCTGGCCAGGGGCCTTGTTCCTTCTCAAGCATTGCCCTGAAGGTAGCAGCTAGGGGTTTCTGTTTTCTAAAGCCCAGTCATATGTACACATGTATATCTGTATGTGCGTGCATGTGTGTCTGTGCATGTGTACTTGTGCAGGGGAGACTAAGATCTCAGTCTCAGGCCTGAGGTGGCCTCCCTGAGGCGCCATTCTTTTCTTTCAGCCCAGCTTCCTGCTTCTCTTAAAGAGGATAATACCAGAGAGACCACAGATGCCTGCTTTGCCTCTGGGGTCCATGTGAGTTACCAGTCCCTTTGTCCTCTCTGAGACCCTTAGCACTGCTGAGTTTATAAAATGTTCCTTGCTTTCTCCTGTAGCCCTTTTTCATCTGATTCACCCTGTCCCCACCCACAGCTTCTTGGGAGACTTGAGCAAGGCAGCCTGAGCCCAATCTTCCTTCCTCATTCTAGGGACCTGTGGCATTGGGAGACATTCCCTTCTATTTCTCACGGGAAGAATGGGGTTCTCTGGACCCTGCCCAAAGGAATCTCTTCTGGGACATAAAGCGGGAGAATTCCCGGAATGCTGCCCTGGGTAAGTGGGTCTAGGTGGGCACCTCATCCTGCTGCCATTCCCAGTCTTTCTTCCCACTCTTCCCTTGGCCAGTTCCAAAATGGTCTTTTCCTGGGTCTCTTCTAGAGCCCTGTTTGATTCCTTTCTTGTGCTAATGTTCAGTTCTCTGTACCTGTACAGGTATATCATGACAAGTGCTTGAGATGTGCCAGCCTGTGCTGAGTGCTTATAAGGACATTTTCTCCTTTGATTCACACAACATGGTGCATTGAAATATTCTTCCCATTTTATTGATGAGGGACCTGAGACTCAGAGAAGTCACTGCACACTAAAGGACAGAGTTAAAAGAGGCTTTGTTGTGAGGTCACCTTGGTTCACCAGCTGCAAGAATGTTGATAGGGCTGGGCTGCACTCCAAGTCCAAACACCTTGCCATTTGAAGCCACACACTTGGGGTCCCTTTCCAAGCCAAATACTAACCTGTGAACCTGGCTGAGATCCTTCCCTGACTGACGCTACTGTGTATTTTTTAATTTGGAGAACTGGAACCTGTAAAGTGAGGGGACCACATTGCTTAATACCTCCATTTCTACTAGTTCAAGAATGGGTGGTTCACGAAATCAAGCTGAATCCATTCAGTGAGCTCTGAGAGTGGACTATTAGTTCCAGGTATAGAAGCAAGGTACTTGGATGGGTTAAGGACCTGGTTGGGTAAGGGACCTAGTGGAGGGTCATGATTAGGAGGCATCCCTGCAGATAGGATCTGCCCAGAGGGTCCACCCTCTGGGGCTCACTGGTAACCACTCTTCTACTGGCTTTTCATCACTATCTCATTTTGTAGATGAGGGAACTGGGGCTTGCATGTCTGACCCAGCACTCAGCACTAGCTTTAAAACCAAGTAGGACTGAAGAGGCTGCTTCCTCCCCCTTTGCAGGTTTGGGGCTCAAAAGCCAGAGCTCGAAGACCCAGCTGGAGGAGGCAGTGCTGGTGCTTCCACGCCAGACAGGCAGTGAGGTATCTGTATCCTGGAGCCCGGAAGAGGCTGAGGCCTGGGAGAGTGAGAACCGGCCAGGAGCAGCTGTAGGCCCCCTGGTAGGGGTACGTCGGGGTCGGCCACCTACTCGCAGGCGTCAGTTTCGGGACCTAGCTGCAGAGAAGCCTCACAGCTGCGGGCAGTGCGGTAAGCGCTTCCGCTGGGGCTCGGACCTGGCACGGCACCAACGCACACACACAGGTGAAAAGCCACACAAGTGCCCAGAGTGCGACAAGAGCTTCCGCAGCTCCTCTGACCTAGTGCGTCACCAGGGTGTGCACACAGGTGAGAAGCCCTTCTCCTGCTCTGAGTGTGGCAAGAGCTTCAGCCGCAGCGCCTACCTGGCAGACCACCAACGCATCCACACGGGCGAGAAGCCCTTTGGCTGCAGTGACTGTGGTAAGAGCTTCTCCCTGCGCTCCTACCTGTTGGACCACCGGCGTGTTCACACTGGCGAGCGGCCCTTCGGCTGTGGCGAGTGTGACAAGAGCTTCAAGCAGCGTGCTCACCTCATTGCCCACCAGAGCCTGCACGCCAAGATGGCCCAGCCCGTGGGGTGAGTGGCCAGTAGGAACTGGATGAGCAAGGCAGGTGCTCCCTGTGACCCCTCCTTGACAACACTGAGGATTCTCCACTGGTTTTCCACCACTGCCAGGCCTGCATAGGGGCAGGGGCATCCCTCAGAACTAGCCAGTCCTGCTCCCATTGAGTGGAAATTCTGCTACCTTGTCTTCCTCTTCTTGCTCTGTCCCCCGCCCCCTCTGGTTTCCTGGAGTCTGGAACTTTCCTGGCTGGGGCACAAAGTAATTGAGGACTCAGGCAGGGCCTAGGGCTGTGTCCCAGGACCCCCTCAGCCTTGCCTGGCCAGTGTCTATTTGTTCCCTACCTTCTCAGGTGGGTCTGTAAGCCAGCTCCTCTGCCCTACCAGCCTGTGCCTTCCAGTGGGTATGGAGAACCCACCTTGGCACCAGGGGCTGCTGGACTTTGGGAGGGACAGTCAGCCCACACCTAGGAGAATCTGGGTCTTGGGTGTGCCCACAGGAGCTTTTCAGCTTTCATCACCTCCTGCTTCCAGACCTGGCCTGGCCACAGAAGCTGCCTACCTTTGCTCTTGGCAGACTCACCCTTCCACGGCAGGCCCCTGAGAACCACCCATCTACTTTTCTGGAGGTGGTGGCAGTGGTTCTGGCAATTGGAGGCCAACCAGGAAATCAAGAACAGGGTGGGTAGAGGTCCCCTACCGTCCACTTTTCCAGAGGCATGTTCTTTGTGGTACTTAACACTAATGCTCCATCAGCACTCAGCACCTTGTTGCTGACTCCTCAAGCACTGCATTCCATTCTGTGGTCTGTATCCTGTGCAGGTCTGTATGTGGGTCTGTATGTGTAATAACACATACAGACTAGGGGCTCCCAAAGAGCTCAACTTTGAGGGTTCCGGAAGGGTTTGAATAAATGTGGAAACTTCTCTCTAGCCTGTGTGTCTTTTTTTTTTTTTTTAAGTACTTGGGATTGAACCCAGAATCTCATGCATGCTAGGCAAGCACTTTACTCTTTGAGCCCAGTCTGTCTTCTCTTTAGGTGTCTGCTGTGGGGATGGGGTACCTGGAATTCTACCCTTGGCCTCCTGGCCTGGTCATACTACTGGCTTGTGTTGTGTGGTCAGCAGGTGGAGCCACATCCTGGGCTTGTAGGTGGGTTTGATCCCTAAGGGCATTCATATAGCCTGGTTTTCTCATTCTACTGTGTCAGCCAGTGCCTGCCCTGGTGTAGGCCACCTCTTTGCCCTGGCAGAGTTGGGGGCCAAGCAGGACATGGGGTGTTTATCAGGCCCTCTTCTGCCCCACTGATGAAATGGGCAAGGGGCTGGAAAGGGGCTGTCTTGGTTGCTTGAAATACTCCTGCTGCTCATTAGGTCCCAGAAGCTAAAGCTGTCTTGTGCTTAAGGGTCTTAGGGGAAAAGGTTGACAGGGCAAAATGGGCCCTGCCCTTGTTCCCCAGACAGCCCTTGAAAGCCAACCTCCCCCCTGCCCAGGCCCACACTGTGCCCTGTGCAGAGCTGGTGGCTGCCAGAGCCAGTGGTTACCAGAGTACAGCTCCTCCTTCTACCCTGGTCCCTTCCTGTTTTTCTCAGGCCCATCTGAGGAGAGGTGAGAGCAGGTAGGATAAGATGTTCTTGTCCCTCACTAGCTGGCTTGCCTGTGCCAGCCTCTGCCCTGGGACCCTTTCTCAACCAGCCCCCAATTTAGCACATCTGTGGTCATGACTGTCCCCATTTCCCAGATGAAGCAACCAGGGTAGAACTGTAGACAAGGCTGATTCCAGTCAGTGATATTGGCCTCTGGGGGCTCAGAGCTGTTGTCTGCATGTGTATGTGTGTGTATGTGGGTGTTAGGGATGTAAGGAGTGGTGGGGGCTGTATGAGAACATTTTTAGAGCGGTGGCTGGTCTCCAAAAGGAGACACTGGTGTAACAAGATCAGATAGGAATGTGAGCCAAGTGCTAAGAATAGAACTGGGCACAGGTTCCTGGCTCATGTATTGCACATCAATGTCAGCCAGGAAGTCATCAGCTGGAGCGAGGGAACAGAGGTGGGCTGGGGGAGTGGAACCCAAGTTTCCAGGGCTTGGGGGCAGAGTCCAACTCAGGTCATAAACAGAGCTGATAGGAGACAGTCTGTGGAAAGGGCAAGAGTTGGGACCCAGCATACTGTGAGTCAGGACCAAGGAGGTGAGCTGGTGCTTAGACAAAGCTCCACCTGACCCCCATGGCCTTCCTGGTGGCTGGGACCCTGCAGGCGGCCTCACAGTTGGCTGATGCTCAAGACAGCCTGGGGAGAAAGGTAATGAGAGGCTGCACCTGGCCCAGCCTGCTCCTGACACCCAGCAGAGCCCCAGCCGGGCCCAGCTCTGGCCTTACCTCCTCAGGGGGAATACAGCCTGCAGGGTTCAAGAGTGGCCCTGACACTCAGCAGCCATGGGGTGTCCACTGCTACTGTTGCTGCCCTGGACTATGTGTTCCGGTCCCTGGGCTTTGAAAACTGTGAGAAGAAGAAGACCTCTGTTCAGGTAAGCCTCATTCCTCATCCCCAACCCCAGCACCCATCTCACTTGGGACCTTCATGGATTCAGGCCAGGCCGTGGCTCTTGCCCTAGTGCTTTCTTGAGGAGCTGATGTGGTTTCGGGAGCAGCTGGATGCCCACAAGGGACCTGTGGGCTGTGCCCTTGTAGCCTTAGTGGCCCCCAGTGGGCAGCTGAGGCACGTACAGCTGCTGGTCCGGGAGCTGAGTCACTGTGGGGCTCTGAGGGGCTGCCCCAAAGTCTTCCTCCTTCTCTCAAGTGGCTGTGGTGGTAAGTGCCTGGGCAGGGACCTTGGTTGGGGGTGGACAAGTTGGGGCAGAGGATGGGCAGGAGAGCTTCCCACTTGGGCCAACAGGATGCCCCTGTGCTGTTTCTCCACCAGCTGCCCCGGAGCCCGGAGTCTTCCTCACTGGCCTGAGGGAGCTCTGTGGCCGCTCTCCTCACTGGTCCCTGCTGCGACTGCTGACAGAGGTGGAGGCCTTAGAAGGGGATGGTGGTCCTGTGGTCACCCTGGCCCTACTGTGCTGTCCTGAGCTAGTTCCAGTTAAATTCTTTCATATACCTGGCCCCCATTTATTCTACAAACCTTTATTGTATAGGCCTTGGGCACAGCTCTGCCTCACATGGGACCCCAGACATCCAGGCTGCCTCCCGTTCCATGCCCTTGCCCAAGCAGCTCTCTCTGTGTGGCATGCCTCCCTGTCCCTCCTAGGCTATCAGCAGTGGCCTTCCTTGTGGTCTGGGCATCCAAACTGGTATTTCCAGCTGTCCATTTTGACACTCATCCAGGCAGTGATTAATGTCACTGAGGGACTGAGACTGATTCAGGTCTGGTCCTGGGGTCTGAAGTTCTCACTGTGCAGTTGGGTGGTGGCTGGGTGATCCTCTAGGTGATCCTTCAGGCCTCAGCTCTTCTCCATAGCTCTGACAGGAAAATGCCTATGGAGAACCCTCCTCCATAGGCCTGCTCCATTCTAGTGAGGTCCCTGCCTTTGTGCACACTAATCCCTGAAGCAGGGCAGGAGGTAATGATATAGCTACTGTCCACTTGAGGCCAGGGAAATCAATGACCTGGAGCCTGAACTAGACCTGAGGTCTTGCATAGGACTATCCTTCCTCCTCATCCTCCTCCCTCCCTTCTGGCAGTTAACCCCCAAGAGCCTGTAGTAGCCAGGAATCTGCCAAGTCTTCCCCTGGAGTCAGGGTCCTGTCACCTGCTTGGGTTGTGCCCCTCCCCTGAGATCCCTCACTGAGAAGCCCCTCTGAGATATCCTGGGGCCCCACACTCCCAGCTGTTCTGCAGGGTAGCTGAAGAGTCTACTGGGGATACCTACTGCCCATTCTTTCAGAGCTCCTTGAGGGGAGCACTATGCCTGGGAGGTGTGGAGCCCTGGATGCCTGAGGTAAGGCAGGGTTCCTTCAAACAGCTGCTATTGCAGGTGGGAGGAGCCTGACCATGCCCAGGTAGGGAAGGCTAGGAGTTTGGAGGCCCCTTAGACCACTTTGAATGTGCCTCAACCCTCTTTATAGCCAGAACCCAGTCCCAGGGCTCAGTATGACCTGTTGGGGGTCAAGGCTGCCCTCCTCCTGGCTGTGATCCAAGACCGGCCCGGAGCACAGCATGATGTGAAGGCACTGGGGGACCTGTGCCGGGCCCTGGGTTTCAAGATCACCTTGAGAATGGACCCTACAGCTCAGGTGAGGGGAAGCCCAGAACTTCTGGTGGTACCTTTGAAGAAAGGACACCCCTCCCCTAGGACTCTGGGGATCCCCTCCTGGGCCTCTCCCACATCACCCACAGGAAGTGCACCCATAGGCTTATCCTCTATCTTTCCTGCTGCATGAATGGCAGTCACTTTCCTGCCTCGGAGAGGCTGGTCTCCCTTGTTGACTGGGTCTCTGCTCCCCAATTCAAAGCTCTGTTTTTTTTTTTTGTTGTTTTGTTTTGTGTGTGTGTGTGGTGCTGAATTGAACCTAGGACCTTGTGCATGTGAAGCAAACATTCTACCAACTGAGCTGTATTCCCGCCTTCTGTGGTTTTGTTTCTGGACATTTATCATCCTGCTACCCTCTCCTTATGCCTTTGCACTTCTTCCTCACTAGGACAGGAGGAGAATCAGCTCTGGGAAGCTAGACCTCCACATCACCTCTAGTGAGCCCATTCCAGGACTTGCAGCAGGGAGTTAGGGCTTCCTCCCTGGGCCTGAGGTTGGAGGCAGATGGAAGTTGGGTGGGCAGACACTGGAGAAGACATCTCAGCCTCCTGGAGGACAGCCAGGGCCTGGGGAGGCTGTGGCCCAGGGCTCAACCTTGTCCCCACTCCAGGGGTTCCAGGCAGAGTTGGCTCAGTTCCGAGAGAGGCTGGACACCTGTAGAGGCCCTGTGAGCTGTGCCCTTGTGGCCCTGATGGCCCATGGGGGGCCACAGGGGCAACTGCTGGGGGCTGATGGGCAAGAGGTGCAGCCAGAGGCACTGGTACAGGAGCTGAGCCACTGCCGAGCACTACGGGGCAGACCCAAGATCTTCCTGCTACAGTCCTGCCGCGGGGGTAAGCCTGTCAGGGATGAGCAGCGGCCTCCAAGTTGCCTTCTTCTCTGGCTTTCCTCTGTCAGCCCTCAGCCTCCCATGCTTGATGTCTACCTTCTCCAGGAAGCCTGAGCATTATTTTCCTGTCCTACAGGACAGCCTACAGACTTGAGCCCTTGACCTCAGCCTGGTCTTTCATCACTCTGAATACTTCCAGCTTAGCAGGCCTGACACGGGGCTCTGGCCATTGGGTTCTTGCTTGGCCCCACTATTCACATCAGGTCTGGATGCTTGGTACCCACTGAGTGAAGATATTTGACCACCCCTCTAGGAAACAGGGACGCTGGTGTGGGGCCAGTGGCTCTCCCCTGGTATTGGCGCTGGCTTCGGACACCTCTAGCTATCCCTACACAGGCAGATGTCCTCCAGATCCATACTGATGCCCAAGGTGGGTCTTGCCTTCCCTCCATAGCTTGGGTTTGACAGGTCTGGTACCAGGGTGGGAACTGTTCAGAGAGCATTTCTGGGGCTCTTAGCTGGTGTCCTGCTCTCACCTCTGCCCACTCTTTGCCAAGAGAAAGAGAGGAAAAAAATTGCAAAAGCCTTTGGGAGGTGAGTGCTACTCCCCTTAATTGAGCCTGGCAGCAATCTTGAGCAAGATGAACTAGCTTCTCTGAGGTTATAGTTAATAAACAAAGGGCTGACATTTAGATTTCCAGCTGTCTTTCCACTGCCCTGTTATGATGCCCTTGATAGGGAGATGGGGTGAACCTGGGCCTGCGGGAGCCTAGGATGCTGGTGGTTGGAGATGACTTCTCTTTCAGGCAGCCCCTCCAGGGACCCCATTCCAGGAAGCTCTGATCAAGCAGACATCCTGACAGTTTATGCAGCCACTGAGGGTAAGAAGTATGTAGTTACACTGGGCCCAGCTTCCTGCTCTGACAGCTGGATTGGCCTTAGTGGCAGCCAGGGTTGGGATGTAGAGTAACCAGCCCAGTTGCAGTTAAGACATCTCCTTCCCTAGTTTCTTTCTTTTTTCTTTTTGGTACCAGGTATTTTGAACCCAGGGACACTTGACCACTGAGCCACATCCCACCCTTTTTTAATATTTTATTGAGAAACAGGGTCTCATGAGTTGCTTAGGGCCTCACTAAGTATTAAGGCTGTCTTTGAACTCTTGATCCTCCTCCCTCAGCCTCCAGAGCTGCTGGGATTACAGGCATGTCCCATCATGCCTGGCTTCCTTTCTACAGTTTTTCGCTCATTAAGAGCAATGATAGTGAGCATATGTCAAATGCCATCTGTGCACGTGCACCATTTCCTCCAGGCAGGAACTTCTGTGAGGGCAGGGAAGATCTGTTTGTTTCAAGGCCCTGCCTGACACCTAGTAGATCCACAGCAAATGTTTGTTCAGTATTGAATCTGTATATATAGTCACTCAGCAAACACTGAGAAACAACTTGGTCCAAATGCAAGAAGTTCCTGCCCCACACCTTGTTCTCTGGCATGATCTCTGGATCCTCTGTGCTTGCTGTCCTCCATGTCTGGTCACAGTGGGTCCCTGGGTTTGAGAGGCAGAGGCAGGGGCCTGAGCCTTACTCTGACCCTTACTCCCTGACCTAGGCTGTGTGGCCTATCGGGATGAGAAGGGCTCTGACTTAATCCAGACGCTGGTGGAGGTACTCAGAGCCAACCCCAGGGGAGACCTCCTGGAGCTGCTGACCGAGGTGTGTGTGGGGGGTGATCAGGAGATAGGGGCTGATTGACTTTTCTCCTGAGCCCCTCCCATCAGCCCCATTGATGAAGGGGGAATCCCTGCCCTCAACAGTCTTAGGTAATGAAACTCAGGACCCCTGGCACTGGTCAGATGCGAGCAGCAGCAGTTGGTTCTCAAATATACTAAAATCTCAGGGAGGAGGACACTGAATGCCATGCAGGGCTACAGGAGATGCCCTGGGAAACAGGGAACCAGCAGGGACTGGGGGAAGCAGGCTTCCTAGAGACAAGAGGTGAGATGCTCCTGGTTAAGCAGGAGCATGGAATTGGCTTATTTGAATATTTATGCAGAAAAAAAAAGTTATGTGGGCTGGCAGAGAGGTGAAGCCTAATGTGTTTAAGTGGGATTCAGCTCGTCTGGCTTAGAGGGGAACTGGAAGGTGAGCAAGGAGCACTTGAAATTTCAGGCCTTACAAAACAGCAGGCAAGGGCTGCAACGGGAGCCAGGCTGATCCCCATAGTGCCTAGAATCCTGGGCACAGGCTCAGTGTGGCCCCTCAGGTCAACAGGCGGGTGTGTGAGCTGGACGTGCTGGGGCCAGACTGCAATGAGCTCCGCAAGGCCTGCCTGGAGATCCGCAGCTCCCTCAGGCGCAGGCTCTGCCTGCAGGCCTAAGGGCCCTGCTACAGCCGCCTGATCCACTCCCGGACTTCTTCAGGACAAAGGGGCGGGCAGCTTGGGCATGGGCGTTTAATTGGCGTTCAATAAATACCTGTTAATGATTGCTTTGCGTGGGCCAGTGTCTGCTCTCGGGGATCTGTGAAAAAAGTGTTATGATGGATGTAAAGTGCTGGCACTTGGTAAAGGTGCAGTTGTGCCCCTCGGAACCAGAGGCGGGACTGGGACCTGTGCCCTGTGTCTCGGAATTAGGAACCAACGTGGGCTGGGCTGGGCTGGAAGTAGGACCAGCCCGGGAGTACATCCCTCTCTTCCTGGCGCTAGAGCCATGGAAATGAAGGAAAAACCGCCTCTGCCTTTCTGGCGGACTCAGATACTCTTGAAAGAGACGATTGCAGATTCACCAGTGAAGTGACGGGGAGAGCGCAGGAGAGCGCAGAGCAGTAGGCGGGCAGGTGCGAGAAGAAGTCAGAAGGGTCCCTAGGAGCCAGAGAAGATAGCTGGGAGAGGTTGGGGACCTGCAGGTTCATCTTGATTCGAACTCTCGGCGTGAGGCGAAACTTGCGCAGCGTCCCCACTGAGAACTCCGCCCACATTTGCCACGAAGGGTAGGTCTTTTTCCACTCTGAGCATGCGCGTGGGCACAATGCGCAGGCGCTTCAATATGCTTTATAGAAAAAACTGAGGTCTCTAAAACAGTGGGGCCGCGTGGCCTAATGGATAAGGCGTCTGATTCCGGATCAGAAGATTGGGGGTTCGAGTCCCTTCGTGGTCGCTGCGGGGAATCTTTTTCTAATTTCACGGAAGTGTTTTCCTTCCCTCAGGACACTCTCTACAGTCAGAGGCTTTGTCCCCAATCGCCCCTAGCCTGCCGCATCTGCAGTTGAGGACCGGGGTCAAGGTTGCAGCACGGGCGACCAAAGGCGTTTGCCTGACCCCCGCGCACTACCGAGCAGAACCGCGCAGAACCGTGAACAGCGATCTCTGCGGTTTACAGTTCAGGCGATGAAAACTGACAGGCGAGGGAGGGTTCGGGTCCCTTGCGGGTGCGGAGGGGAGTTGCTCCTGGGGAATCAAAGGATATGTGCATTTGAAAACCTAGTAAATTATGTGATAATGGTTGCACAATAATCTGAATCTAATTAAGGCCACTGAATTGTACACTTCTAAATGACGAAAATAACAATTCTATTGACGTACGCTCACTGTTCTAAAATACGTGGGACCAAAGCCGATAGATCGTCTCGGTTTCTGGCAACGAGGGGACCTTATGGTTAGTGTAAATGCACACCCAACATTTTAAATACTGCCCGAGGTTGAGCTGACATTTCGCTTGGAGAATTTACCTGCTGAGCCCGCGTTCTCTCCAAGGACTCTGGCTAACGAACCCTCCGTGGCCAATGGCGGGTGCCCCACCGCGAGGGCAACGCCGGCGACAAGGCCGCTTCAGCCCGAGTGCAGAGACGCCCGCAGGCGACCTGGGGTCGTGCGGAGTCACCTTCTCCGCGGGCGGCTGTGACGTCGCAGTGGTTAGTAAGAACTCCCGGTAGAGGAACTTCCCGAGGTTAAGAGACCCAAAGGGGAAGAGAAGAGCTACGCAAAGGCAGCGGGTGGGGCTGGAGCCCCCCGCCTCGGCTGCGACGCCCAGATTCCACCGGCTGGGCCAGGGGGAAGCTAGAGGCTTCGGGCTGGCGATCTGCTAAAACGACAAAATGAGCAACAACAACAACAAAGGGGCCCCACCAGGTAACATGCGGCCCCAGGGACAGTGGGAGAGGAGGACCGGGGCGGAGACCCCCGCGGCCCCCGCACAGGACGCTCTGCCTTTCCCGGTAGGTGCTGGTCTGTTGCGGGGCACTGGACATTCATGGTGCCCGCCCTCCCGCGATGGGCCTCACAGACACCTTGTTTCCTGTACCAGCTGTCCCCGTGTTGCAGGGGTACCCCTGGATTAAAGGGCTGATCCTGGTTTGAACCTGGGATCTCTGGCTCCCCCAGCGAGTTGCATACCACCTAGGCCGATGCATAACCCTAAATAAAACTCAGTGTCGCATGTCTTTGAGCTCCTGCACAGCTGGGTCCCAAGGACGCCTGGGAGTGGGCGAGATGATGAACTGGAGCGCAGATCGAGAATCGAAGTCGGGGAATAGGAAAAGGCCAGAATGAGGTCACAGAGCCGAGCAAAATTTTGCCGGAATCACCAAAAATGAGGAAAAGACTGGTTCGAGAACAGAAAGCCACTTAATTTGTCAGCCCCGGTGGCCTAATGGATAAGGCATTGGCCTCCTAAGCCAGGGATTGTGGGTTCGAGTCCCACCCGGGGTACAAAAAAGTTGCCTTTTTTAGGTCTCTCTCCAAGTAGCAAAGAAAGTGTAGATAATTGTCTCTGCGAGTACAGCCACTGTCTGCCCCCTCCCCCCCCCCCCCCCCCCCGGGGGGGGGGGGGGGGGGGGGGGGGGGGGGGGGGGGGGGGGGGGGGGGGGGGGGTTGGACCCTTGGGACACAAGGGATGTTTTCATAGAAGTGTGCATTTTCAGTTTTGAGAAGAGGAGTGCGTGTGTCCTTTACACTATTTCAAGAACCATCCAGAACCATCCATTCTACCTGATAAAAAAAAAAGTTCAGTACCAATGTGTACTACTGTTGTATTATAGTTACATATATTTAAAAAACTCCTTGTCTTTTATAAACGCATAATTTTTTTAGAGATTAAATTGCAGGGCAACTGGTTTGCTTTAAAATCGTGGGCTGAACTCGGGAGCCTGAGGCAGGGGGATCACAATTCCAAACCCAGCCTTAGCAAACTAGGGAGGCCCTAAGCAATTCAATGAGACGCGGTCTCTAAATAAAAATACAAAGAAAGGGCTGGGGTTGTGACTCAGGAGTTAAATGCCTCCAGGTTCAATATCTGGTATCCACCCCACCCCCCCACCCCCCCAAAAAATCATGGGCTGGATGGAAACAGATCAAAGTCTATCTGTGAGTTGATAATGGTGTAACCTGAGGGTTAGGAGGGCACATAATACTATATACTATTTTCTGTTTTTTTTTTTTTTAATACTTTCCACCCTGATGTCCCCAGGCATTTGACGCTGCACCTTCCTAACTAATGCCATACCTTTCACACAAAACAGCTCCTGAAGTTGCAAATTCAATTTTCTTTGTCATTCTGCAACATGAGAATTTAAATGTGTGTTTGATTTTTTTAAAAAACAATGTCAACCCTGTAGCCGCAAGATATTTAACAAGGCCGTGGATCTTTGAACATGATTTTCTACAGCTGAGGCTCAACCTTGTAAGTAACAGAACTCTAGATGGCACCCAACTGGCTTTACTTCTTGATTTGGCCTGTTAACCACTGCTGGGATAATAGAACTTTCAAGGAAGTCCCTAAAAGCAGAGTCCCTGTCGGGACAAGTACTACAACACTGACAGGGTCCTCCTGATAGCTCTGTGTACCTGGAGATTTTTTTCTTTTTTCTCTTTCCACACTTTTTTTTTTTAATTGGTGCATTGTAGTTGTATATGTAGAAATTTATGTGAATTTCAGCTTTAAAATATTTGAAAAATCATGGGACAAGAATGTGCAGCCCAAGCAGGGCGCAGTGGCGCAGGCCTGCAATGCCCCCCTGGCTGGGGAGGCTGAGGCAGGAGGATCCCAAATTCAAAGCCAGCCTCAGCAATTTAGCGAGGACGTATGAAACTCATCGAGACCCTGTCTCTAAAAATCATACAAAATAAGGGTCTGGCGATGTGGCTCAGTAGTTAAGCATCCCTGAGTTCAATCTTTGGTTTAAAAAAAAAAAAAAAAGTGTGCTTTGTGGCCCGAGAGAGATTTGGGGGCTTGCGGTAACGTATATGTGTGTCTTCCCTGACGCGGCAGCTAATTTCGTGTCTGGAACGGGAATTAAATGCAGTGAACAAGCCGACATCTGGAAGGAGTATTTAAGGTGCAGTCGTTGGCTTCTCCCCGAGAAAAGATACGCCCAACGTGGGGCTCGAACCCACGACCCTGAGATTAAGAGTCTCATGCTCTACCGACTGAGCTAGCCGGGCGGTCTCTCCAGCTCCCTCCCTACTCGCTAGTTGGAGTTCTACACGATTTCGAAGTCAACTTATGGAGAACTGCCCAGGTCATAGACGGGCCGCACCCCAAGAACCAGAGCGTTGAGTTGGTGGGTCCACTTCGTGTGGCCTGGGCTGTGCCACGAGGCCCCTGTCTGCTGTGCATCCGGTGTCTGCGGCCGCTGCAGCTCCGGGCAGCTGGAAGGTCGGGGGCCAGGCGATCCAGCAGGGAGCGCGGTGAGAGGAACCCAAACCGGGGTCAACCCACCCGCTACGCCTCCTTTTCCACCTTCCCTGGGGCGGCTCAGGACCTCGCCGCGGGAGCACGCCTCGCCCCCCTGGGCTGCGCTGAGCTGCTGACTCCAGGGCGAGAGGAGGCCACGTTGGGAGGGTCGCACGGCCGCGCACGGGAGGAAACGGCCCCTGACCCAGCTCTGACCCCTGCGTCGGGTCTCCGGGCCACACCCAGGCCAGCAGGGGTCTTGGTCCAGGGGAGGGGCGCAGTCGTGGGGTCCGGGGGGACTTCGGCTTCCTTCCGTTGCTCGAAGCTCGCCCATGCCGGCCGGTCGGGAGGTGGCAGTCCCTTGTCCCCTGCTCAGGATCCCCGACTCAGGTGCCCCGTGGGGTGAGGTGTCTGGGTTGGGGTGCACCCGGAAAGACCCCAGAGCTCACGCGGGCCTCGCTGGCTCCTTTGTCCCGCAGGCGGCGACCCTGGTCTTTAGCTCCCGGCCGATACCCGGAAGCCCTGCCTGCGGCAGGGCGCAGGAGCGGGGCGGGGCCGCCGGATCCGGCCTCCAAGGACCAGCGTCAGAGCGTCCTGGCACGGCGGCTCGTTGGTCTAGGGGTATGATTCTCGCTTTGGGTGTGAGAGGTCCCGGGTTCAAATCCCGGACGAGCCCGGCTTTTTTTCCCACCCACAAATCCTGTGCCCAGGGGACGCTGACTCTTTCAGGCACAGCACATTCCCGAAAGCCTGCGACCTCTCGGCGTTGCCAGCTGTCCCTCGCGTGGCCTGGGCCTCACCCAGTCTGATTCGTGGACCTAGAAGTTCTAGATGCCCTTGGGGAAACGGAACCCAAACCGGGGCAACCGAGCGGAGGGCAAACCCACCTCCCCGCTTCCTGGACGAGTCCCCGTCCTGTGCCAGACCATCGGGGGGTCCAGGGATGGCACTTACTCTGGGCGGGTAATTTCCTCTGGGTACCATAAGTCAAGTTCCGGCGGAGCCCACGGATGTGAACGTCCTTTTCCTCTTCAGAGGCTGCCTTGCACAACCAAGGGGAGGAAACCGCGGCAGAGTCTGAGCGCGCCGAGGCCTAGAGCCGCTGAGTTGGGGCTGCCAAGAAGAAGGGGTCACCGTGGAAGTGCAGGGCGCTCCTGCCTTTGGTCTCTGAAGAGCGGCAGCAGTTGAATAGGTTTTGCTGTAATTCGGGAATAGTGCAACCGGCAGAGGAGACAACTGCCATTGAGAATATAATGGAGAAGGGGTGAGATAACTAGTCAAGAGCCCGTACTGTGGATTTCATGGGACTATAAAGATAAGCAGGTTACAATTGACTAGCTTGAATAGTTTCAGGGGGCTCCGGGGTGTGGAGTCTGTCCCTAGTTGTCTGATACCCGACTCTGGGTGACACAGGCTGAGAGTCCTGGCCCAGAGTACCAGAGCTCAATAAAAGAGGTGATCAGTGTTGTGGCCTCTAAGTGCACAATCTGGAAGGAGTTGTTTGCTATCTCCAAGAAATTGCTAGCCTGGAAGGAGAAGTCCCTCCAGGATGAGTGAGGCCCCAGATGTCCAAGTTTCAGAATGCAGAAAATAGGAGATGGCTAATACAGGCAGGGACTAAGGGTTTTCGTGCGAACTGGGGTATCCTAAGCTAAGTATCCTAAGTATCCTCTTGTACTCTTGTACACCTGAGGATTGATTACTGCCCTAGCCAGGTGAATTGAATACAGGCAAGAGGTCCAGGACACATACTGCCCACACCAGTGTCCCTTCTTTACCTCAGGGTTGTGTGTGTGTGAGCTGGTGGCCCCTTTCTGATTCTGGTTCAAATACCAGACTAGCCCAATTTTTAAGGTCCAGTAGTGGTAGTCCCTGTAAGACAAGAAGACAAAGCCTGGCACTTTCAGAGGGAGCTTTGTGGTGAGGGCTGCTCTGTAACTGAAAACAAGTGGCCTGGCTCAGACAGGAAGGAGATGCGTGGAGAGCTGGCCAAAGGGGACCTAACATGGGGCTGGAACCCACGACCAGGAGGTTAGGAGTCTCTCACTCTACCCACGGAGCTAGCCTGGCTGCTCCAACTCTTCAAAATAACGAGTCAGGTCACTACCCCGAAAAAGGAGACTGCATGCGTAGTCACTATTGGTATCCCCCGGGGACACACTGGGCGCCAAGGAACTGCCAGGAGCCAACCTCCAGGGGGATTTCTGACACGCGGCCACGCCGGCTCGGTAGGAGCGGGCGTGCGGACCGTGGAGACCCTACAGTCAGGGACTGCCGGGCAGGGAAGGGAGCGGGGCGGCGCGCCGACCTAGGGACAGACGACAAGACCCCGTCCTGCGGCGTGGACAGGACGCGGCGCGGACCTGCGCGAGCTGAGCCCACGACGCGCTGACCCCGGCCTTAAACGCAAGGGACTATCCCCCCGTATATGACCTAAGAAACCCGCCGGATTCCACCTGTTGGCATGTAAACGCCGCATGTGCTTCCTTTGAGCTGTCTAGAGTCGTTTTTCTTAGTTTAATAATTAAAAACCGTCTGTGTCGGCGTGTGTCGCCTTTTTCCAAGTTTGGGCTCTCCGGGTTCCTAGTATGGCCAGGCCTCTGCCGACAGCCCCCGGCTGGGAGGCGAAGGGTGTTTTTACTGCTCCCGGTGTGGACAGAGGCAGTTGGGCCACCGTGAATTGCGTCCACCATGGAGTCAGGCTGGACCTCAGAGGCACTGGGTCTCACGCCCGGGTGGCCCCCGTCGTTTCTGTTCAGATCCCAGGAA